TATCTTGGCTACCTATTTAGGCTCGAAAAGCAAAAAATATCAAAAAATATAACTTGAGTCCATTATGACCCTTTCATGGAGGTAGTTTTTATCCGCTAGTATTTTCCCTTTGAATCTCTTTACAATTCGAAATCAAATTCAAAACTCATTAGAAGAAAGGAAGAATCGACTTACTACGGTTGTAATACGAATAAAATACATATATTTAATTATTTTTATTTCATAATAATTGTTTGAAGCTCATATTCCATCAAATTTTTAAATAAAAACATTAAAATGTTGAAAATGTTCATATATTTTAATAGGGTTTTGGCACTTTATTGAGGAATTACTACATACATAGTCGAACTGAACTTGATATTTTGAAATTTAAATTATTTATCAAAATTAAAATTTAACTTGAAATTTATAATTATTTAGTCATATTTTACATAATTCTAAGTAGATTTTGTAAAAAATCAAGAAAGAAATTTTAACGTGCTTTATTTTTTCTTTTTTATAATAATACATATTATTATATAATTAACTATTTCATAATGTTTCACCCTTTCAAAAATATAATCCCCCTCCTCTCAAATAAACGTACATACGGGTGGCTCTTTTTTTCAAAAAATTAAAATTTGAAATTTTGGGCTCAAATATTAGAGATTTTTTCAACCTTCAACGAATATGTTGTCTATATCAGACCTCCTTTCTTTTTGATACTTAACATTGTTCTTAAATCTTAGCCGTTAAGGCTGTTCTGAAAATATTTTTTTTTCGAAAAAATTCGAAAAAAATTCTTAAAATTCAAAAATCCCTTATTCCTGAGGATTTTGGAAAAAAGTTTTTTACATGAACATGTGTATATTATATGAAGTATATTGATAAGGTAAAAATCAAATTTTATTGCATATTCATCGAGAAAATAAACTAACGAATCTCTCAAAATTGAGAGGGTAATCCTCCTCCTCTCAAATAAACGTACATACGGGTGCACCCTTAAAAATGCATTATCTAGCTAATATTAGTTCTTTGGTGTATATCAATATTTTGGCATAAGGGCATCATCTTTCGTATGTTTTTGTCTTCAATGAACTCTACGGATCGAGTTTTTAAAACAATGTATTGCACGAAAACTCGGTTGACTTCACTTATCATGAAAATATTTGATTTTTCGCAATATATCTAATTTATTTATAATATTATGTTAAATACAATTATATTAGTTATATATGTAGGCATATATATTATTTGGTATTCGAGTGAATATCATTTCGATTTGACTACTTATAATCGATTAAATATAATTGTATTTGATTGGGTTAAAATATTTTCATTTGATATAGTATAAGTTACTGAATGTATATGCCTTTAATATTTAAAATATTACTTAAATGTGATTGCTTTCAAAAATTAGAAGATGTTTTTGATTGAAGAAAAATAATTTTTATAATTATATTTTGTTTGATTAAAATTGTATATACAATATCAGCGATTTATAAAATTGTTGACCTGAACGACACAGTTTATTAGAAAGCATATTATAGTCCAAGATTCAAATGTATATAATCAGATGTTATTTAATTAGTACATAAAACAAAATAGTTACCTAACTTAATTCATCTAATTAAAATTGGTTTATATTTTGTGATATTCGAGGGCTATATCATAAACAATACCAGATGAAGGAAAACAAAGTTGTATTGTAATGTATCTTATAATTAATCATTTCTTAATTTTGTTCTGTCTATTATTTTTCTCATGGTTTTTATATAATGCTATGATAAGTGAAGTCAACCGAGTTTTCGTGCAATACAGAGTTTTTAAAACAATATAAAGAATAACTATCTTAGGCACTCCATAGTAATCTAGAAGCAAAAAGAATATAGAACCTAACTCTTATACGTCAAATTATCTAGTTCTAATATTGTATTAACTTCGTTTTGTTCTAATTTATGAATTGACATAGATTACCTACTCTGTGCGAGACCCGATATACCTTGATGTTCATATTTCTGCTCTTGAATCTAAAAAGTTGGCTCATCCACGATTCCGTTTTGGATGAATATCAGGAATATGTCACATGGATCCTGAAATAAACTTGAAATCATATTCTTCCCGTGTAAGCCTTTCAATTCCCTCAAATTTTGAGAGACAGACGCGAAGCAAAAATCACATCTTGGAATAAAAGTTTTGCTATGAAGTCCCTGTAAATTATGGAACTTACTAGGTATTAGAAAATCTAAAGATGTTCGGATTTTCTTACAATGGTTATTAAAATAGCGAATTTAACATTTTAAATTTAAAATACTGTGGAAGAATTGGGAGGTTTGCTATAGATATCTCAATATGATTTATTTTTAGTGTAATTTTGAAAGCTTCTTTTCAAAAGTAGCTATGATGCAACCAATTTAAATTGGAAAACAAAATTTGGGTATTTGTAATATATCTTTTATTTTTATCTTATAATATATATGTAAATAATTATTGAATGTTAAGAACATATAGCATAAATAATATTTTACAATTATCATGGTAGACATAATAAATCAACTCCCATAAATATAAACTCGATAAACTTATTTGAAAAGTGAAATTCAATACATTATCGAGTTTTATTCAAAAATTAATTAATATTATCCATAGATATTTAATATTTTTAAAGTATACTATTTTGTAAAAATCCATTCAAATTATTTTTGAGAGAATTTAAATTGTTAAAAAGCCTGACTCAAATCATTTCGAGAAAAACGAAATGGATAGTTGTATGTTTGGCTATCTTATGATATGAATTGAATACTGCCAACCCTTGAATTAAAATTAGCTCTGTCGAATTCTATCTAATTATTTATTCAAAGATTTTTTTTTAATTTTCTATGACTTTTGATTGCAATCTCAATTATATTATTCCATGATTACTTTATTATTTATAAATGGTTATGATATGGAAACAATTGTGTTAAGGATATATTGTTATATTTGTATTTGAAGCTTCACAAAATTTGAATATGAACAAAATATTGTTTCAAACATTAATTATCGTTAATGGAGCACTGTACATCATCCCAAGGCAGAACTATTGGCAAATATATTCTTGAAAAGCAAATTGGATCTGGTGGGTTCTCATCGGTTTACTTAGCTAGCAACTGTAAAACACATCAAAAATACGCAATTAAATGCATTGAACGGAAATCAGCTCAGCAATTAGGTTTGTTACAATATGTTGAAAATGAACTCAGAATATACTCACGATTAAATCATCCAAACATTGCAAAATGCTACGATATTGTTTATACTGAAGATTTCATCATGATTGTGATGGAGTTTATGGAGAATGGTGATATGCAATTTCTGATTAATAGTAATCATCTGTTCAGGCAATCTGATCAAATAAGAATAGCAATTGAGATTTTGGAAGCTTTGCAATATCTCCACTCCAGGGGAATTTCACATAGAGACATCAAGCCCGCAAACGTTATGTTCGATTCTGAATTTCATGCAAAGCTAATAGATTTTGGCTTCTGCAAAAAAAAAACGCAACCAACCTTCATACTATTTGCGGAACACACCTATTGATGGCTCCTGAAATTATAAGTAATGTAAATTATGATGGTACTAAAGCAGATATATGGTCATTTTCTGTTACAATGCATATAATGGCAACTCATTATCTACCTTTTGAATATGAAAGCGAGGCCCAATTTATACGTGACATCAAAGCTAAAAGTATTAAAATCAATATCAGAGCAAGTGGGATTATTGGTTGGATTGTAAAAAATGGAATGCAATTCGAGCCAGCTGACCGTATTTCTGCAGCTGATATGTTAGAATACATCAGAGGTAGATCATCTGGTAATAAAATTGGAATGCCGGAAGTCCGATATGTGAGAAGGGCAAATACAATGGGACAGCTGGCTAAGCTAACTATCCCAACCAATTCACCTTTTAAGATCAGAACACGTGTAGCCCTTGATAATACAACGCTAAAAACTAATCGAGATAAACCAGCAGTTAGATTTGAAAAACAAATAAATTAATATATTTGATTTTTGTTTTCTTGTTCTTTAAGGGTGCCCTATAGACGATAGCTCCCCCTCAGAAAAAATAACCTTAAATAAAACCAATGCTTTTCGAGACCTATTTTGGTACCTCCAAAAACATTTTTCTCGGTAAAAAATCAAGTTGATGTATTTTGTTTTGTCATCGTAGATACTCTAATTTTCGCCCAGTAATGTTATATAAAAGGAGCTTTTTTGTCGAAATGCAAAACAAAATTGGCCGTTAATGTGGTGAATTATCGATTTTTGGTACAGCATACTTTCTTATCAATGAATAAATGCAGCTACTTGATAAAAGAGTCTTCAAAAGCAACTTTTGAAAAAAATATTCCTTATTTACATCAAGAGCCGAATACTTTTACGATGAATATTAATAAAATTTGTCGGTATTTATTCTTACAGATTATCAGATCACAAAAGCCAAAAATTGTTTATTATTTTTTTTCAGAATAAAAATTTTGAATGTATCAATTATATCAAATACATACATTTTATTCATACATTACAAATGAAAGATTTAATTTTTGAAAAACCTAAATTTTTTCGAAAATCAAATATTTCGGTGTATTATATGCGCCTTTGTTTAAATTATTCGCCAATTCCTCATCACGAATGTAAGATATTTTGGTATTACAAAAGAGAATCCATGAATTGATGTTTTCGTCCAAAATAATAATATTATATTGTCGACTGTGATAAGTTATTATGGCTACTAGTTTGGATTTTACAGCTGGATTGTTATTCCATGTGTAATCATCCAATGGAAACGTAAAACCAGCAACATCAATAAAAAGATAATCTGAAAAAGTAGGAGTAACTTGAAGTTCGTTATTATATTAACAAGAGGAATGTCAATTTTATCTGTAAATCCCCAGCAGAATTTTTTGAAATAATCAATAAGATCTAGTTGCCTAGCTCACATGCAAGCGATTCTTGTAATTGTTTGAAAGCATCAATTGGATCAGCTTGATGTATCTTTTGCCGTTTCGAGTACAGGTGATACAGATAAGTAACATCTGCATTTTCCGAAAAGTTCCGATTTGTGAGCGATAATATTCTTTGTATATTAACTGTTGCTCATTGGGATTAGAGAAATAATTCGTCAAATAGTTTGTGCATTAATGGTCGAAATGTAATAAGTTGAACAATAACGGCAAGAAAACCGATTTTTTACAAGCTTGATACCAAGCTTTTGTTTTTTAGGCTTAGCATGAGTTTTTCTGAGTGTCTGTGGAAGTTGTATCAAATCAGGATGAAAATCTGCTATCATTTCAAGAGATGGTGGATTGTGCTGAGGACGTTAAGATAATTGATTGCGTTTATCTTAATTTTCTCAAAGTTATGAAAATCAGTAAAAGCTGAATTCATAATTTCTTTTGCTTGCTGAGAATCGTAAACTGCAACAGCCGAGATGTTTTCTTCATTAATACGAATTAAAGACGAGTACGTATTATAAAGATCTTGTTTAAATTTGGATAATAAATTTTGGAATTCTTGAGGATCATCTGAATTTCCTTCGCCTTGAAGAAAAATGAAAACCTTTTCCAATCTGGTGGTACTTTGATATCGGAACCAAATATAGATTTTTTGTTGAATTTTGGATAATCTGTTGGAAGTGAAAGATTTTCAGATTCTGACGGTTCTTCATCCGCTGGCGGATCCTCATCGTCAGTGTATTCAATTTTTTCGGATCTGGATCCACCTTTTGACGGTTTATGAGGAACTAAGTCAGCGAATTCTGGGTCAATTTCATCTGGAATGTAATGAACGCATCTGTTATGATTTCTCTAGTTTTCCGAAGTTCTTCTGATATGGTCATAATCGGATTTATTTTCGAAATTTAATATAACTTGTAAAATATCTTCATCAAAATAGAATCATCTATACCCATTAATCTTCTTAGTTTTGTCTTCCAATTGTCTTCACTTATACGCCAATACAGAAACAAAAATTCTGGCTGAAATCCAATAATCCAACGAAGATTTTTTGGGACTAAATGGGCTTTCAATGAATTGAAAGCTTCGTTGAAATTTGTATGATATTGTTTGCTGATTTTTAGAAACAATGGAGCAATATTTGTAATAATTTCTCTTTTTTCGATATGCTCTGGCGATTCTCCTGGATATCTATTAATTAATCCCATCCATCTCTGAACCTTTTGCTCTGTTTTAATGTTGGGCATGCAAAAAGGATCCTAAATATTTTTTCAAATTTAGGATATTTAGTGACAATTTTTGAAAATGCTGATTTTATCACATGATTTGGATCTCTTACATGTGATAATTGTACACCAGAATTCTCTATCATTGTTGAATCTTTAACATCACCATCTGAACAAAAACTTTTATTTTTTCCATAAATCAGATTTCAACATATCACGTAATGCATAGCTTTCCATTAATCCTGGTGAAATTTTTGGTTCAACCAAAATTTTGGGACTTTTGAATTTTATTAATTCTGGATGCCTTGAAACTTTTCTAAAATCTAATATTTTGTTTGTATTTATATCTATAAGCGTAATGACGGCATGTTAAGCATCGCGCTTAGAACTCCATGCGCATTCTAATGAAACATTAAATTTGTATTCTGAATCATGTTTAAGAATTTCTTGTATATTAGCTTCACAACTTGCTGTTGCAACTTTCTCAAGATCTGGCAATATGCTCTTTAGATGCGCAAGTAATGTAGTTTCTGTTGGGCAATGAAAGTTTTGGAGTGATGCCAATTCGATGTGTTTTGAAAATCCTGCACCAGATATAAGAGAAATGTAAGTATGAAGATTCTTGACAACGTCACTATACGGAACTCCAGGCTTAAATTTGACGTTGAATATTGTTTTTTCCTTAACATTTGATTGTGAATGATCTTGTTTTGAATTAAGCTGGTTTAGATTAATGAAATGCGAAAAGGTTTCTTATTTGAATAAACAGTTCGATGATAGACCCTTTTTGGCAGTCATCAGCTTTATATGTTATTAATATCTCTTCAATTGTGTATCCTTCCATGATTGGATAGAATACTCCATAGGAAGAGCTAAAATCCCGCCAAATTTTACGGTTTTTTTAATACAAAAGTAATCAAAGTGAATAAAGCAAAGATATATATTGTATTTAATCAGTCAATTGATATTGGGTAGAATATATGCTCAATATTTCATTTTTCAAATTTATTATTTCAAAAAACCAATAATTGGCGACATTGTTTACTGTAATAATTGTTTTTAATGAAAACACTATATGCCTTCCTTATTTTCTTTCTTTTTATTTTTTTTGAAAAAATCAAAAAAAACTCGAAAAAAAATCAAAAAATCACAAAATCGATGAATTCTCAACGTAATTTAAATCTTCAAAATCGTAGAGATTGGTCATAATATAACTAAGCATTATGATATGGTAAAGTTCAAAAAATCTCTCTCTTGAACGAGATAAAAGCTTAACAGAAATAACCTTAAAAGTGCTTTTCTGAGGGTGGTCTATCGTCTATAGGGCACCCTTAAAACCTTGTTTATTTTGTTGTTCAATCTTTTATAAGTCAAATCAAAAAGAATTCACTTCCATATTTAGAATTTAAATCATGTTTTAGTTTGTTTGTCTACATTTTACAATTCTAGTTGAAATATGAGATCCGTGAACTGGCCGTTACTAAGTTCATTATATAGTATAAGTTCCTGATTGATATAAATTCATTACTATTGGTTTGGTTAATTTTGAAACATAAAATTCACAATCTCTTAGTGTATTACTTTTCAAAACTCATATAGGGAAAGAGTTATTGATTACTTTTTTGACAAAAAAAGGTAACCCAGGCAAAACCAAATGCAAAAAGGATATGGGCTAAGCCCAATTCCTAAAGGATTATTATTACAAGATTATAGTAATGAGGGTTTAACAACATTAGCCGACTTAGATTTATCCCCAACCTTAATAACTTTAAATTTAACTAATAATCCTTTAAAAACTCTAGAATCATTAAGAACGATACCAACACTCGCAAAATTAGTATTAGATAATACAAATATAGATTCACTTCTTGGAGTTCGACCTCAACCTTCTTTATCTAATTTATCCGCACTTTCATGCCCGCTCAGTGATTATGAATACTTAGCAATGATGTGCACTATTGTATTTGGAGATAATATTATGCAAATCAACAACCAGCAAGTGAATGAAAACGATAAACTTGCCGGCCGGGAAGCAAGATCCCATTTAAAGCCATATCTACTCCAGGGATGGATTATTGTTTCAACTATTCCCCTTGTTTTAAAACATGTCACTTCTGGAGAAATTCTCCCTCTAAGTGATACATATAAAATTACACCTGTTGATCCTGAAATATTGGAGCAGACCCGAGAAGTTCCAATAGGAGTTACAAAAATAGAAATTCTACCAGTTCAAATTCAGAACCCTTTCAAATTACTCAAAATGAACCAATTGGAACCTTTCATCCAGAAGATAATTCACAAGTTGAACTACCAGAAGCTCTTCCAAGACTTTGGAGTTCAAAAAATGATACAAACAAATCAATAGATTCTGATGATGATACCGTTGTCGTTGATACCCTAGTATTTTCTAGTGATGATGATGATCATCGAAAATTTGATGACAGAGATCTAAAATATTTTGATTTTTCCCAAATTCTTCCTCCAATTTCTCAAATTAATCTCTCCTCCAAGTCATTAATAAAAGGAGATGATGAATCTTATCAAGCTCCACCAATCAAGCCAATGACCGATTCCACCAACGAAAATAAGCTTACAAATGGGACCCTCAGTTTTAACAAGATAGAAAATCAGCCATCATCATATGAAGCTCCTCCTCTCTCCAGTCCTGCATTAGAAACCTCATATTCTCAACAAAGTCATCAAGACAAAGAAATTTTGAACGAATCTGAACAAAAATCACTTCAATACGACAAAATAAAAAAGAGAATAATAAGAAAGAAAGCCTCAGAAGGGAAAAGTAAGAAAAAATTACGAAAAGTTAAACGTAAAAAAAGTTCCTTATCAAAAAAAGAAGATTCAATCCACCAAAAGCCCCCACCACTCTTGCCTTTAGCAGGATCATCTGATAATCGTGTGTTTGCTGTGGATAGCGACAGTTCATCAAGATATGATTCTAATGCAGCAAAAACTGAGCCAGAAAAACGCAATCAAACAATTTTAGGATTTGGAACACTTACTATTGAAGCTGCACCACCTACCAAACATAAGAAGAAGCTGCATAATGACGATTTTATACCGCAAAAAAAGTGGAAACCAAAAATTATAGAAACCACCCATAAAACTGAAATATTTGAAACTGATGATGAAAGCGAAGGAAATTCAGACCCTCCGGTTTTTAAAAAAGTGAGCTTTTTCAAATTAATCGGAGTTGAACCAGATTCTGATGATGAATATATGTCTCAAGATGATGAAGAGGAAGTAGACGATGATGTAATTGACGCAAGCTTATATAATGTTACCCCTGAGGTAATAAATGATCTTAGAATAGAAGCAAGACAACAGTTTTATAAGATGAGAACAACCCAAACAAGTACACTAGAAGAAATGGAAAAATTCGTCACAAAATACGTGAAGCTAAGATTAGAGAATATGGATAATATTTAGTTTTTGGAAAAAACCAGAATTTTCGAAAAAGTGACACCAACTATTAAAGTTATTTTATTACTAGATTTATTTACAAATTATAAGATAATATCATTAACAAAATATATTTTTAATATAAATAAAAAACTTTTTTTATACAAAAAATTACAATCAATCGATAAATATTATAAAACATTTATTCCAAAAAGATTAAGTAATAGGTGGGATCCTGCATATAATATAATTTTATGTCATAAAGCTTACAAATTTTAGATGGACCACAGTGAGAATGTGAGTGGTTAATTTAAAGGTGGTCTGATAAAGATATCGAAGCTTACTCAACACAGTATGAAGCAGTTTCTAATACACAATCTTACTAGTGGTGTTTCGGTCGCCAGCGCTCTCATAGGGGTGCTGATTTCAAAAACCACTACTTCAAATTATTCAACAATACTCAATGCAGCATGAAGCAGCTACTACTGCTGTATCTTACTGGTAGCGTTTTGGTCGTTGGCTCTTGCACAGTCTCTCAGATTTTCAAAAATTTTTTTCAACACTATCTTGTTTCGCTCTCAGAAAGCTATCCTACAAAGACATCGAAGCTTACTCAACACAGCATGAAGCAGTTTCTAATACACAATCTTACTAGTGGTGTTTCGGTCGCCAGCGCTCTCATAGGGGTGCTGATTTCAAAAACCACTACTTCAAATTATTCAACAATACTCAATGCAGCATGAAGCAGTTTTCCAATTCAACAATACTCAACACAGCATAAATAAGTTACATAATAAATATATACATATATAAATATATACATATATAAATATTATACATATATAAATATATACATATATACATATATAAATATATACATATATAAATATATACATATATAAATATATACATATATAAATATATACATATATAAATATATACATATATAAATATATACATATATAAATATATACATATATAAATATATACATATATAAATATATACATATATAAATATATACATATATAAATATATACATATATAAATATATACATATATAAATATATACATATATAAATATATACATATATAAATATATACATATATAAATATATACATATATAAATATATACATATATAAATATATACATATATAAATATATACATATATAAATATATACATATATAAATATATACATATATAAATATATACATATATAAATATATACATATATAAATATATACATATATAAATATATACATATATAAATATATACATATATAAATATATACATATATAAATATATACATATATAAATATACATATATATATAAATATATAAATAACAAAATATAATCAAAAAATAGTGTTTGGAAATTTAAGGTTAAGTGTCACTTTTCTAGTGTCACTTTTTCGTAAATTCTACCACACTCGTACACTAGAAGAAATGGAAAAATTCGTCACAAAATACGTGAAGCTAAGATTAGAGAATATGGATAATATTTAGTTTTTGTTTGTTTGTTTTATAAATTATATAATATTTTAATGGAATTTTGAGACTATAGAAAAATAATGATATATTTGTTCTAAAGTTTAAACTGCTTCGGAAAAAGCGTAGTGCTAAGTCAACTTTTTGAATTAGCACATACGATCAATTCTATGAGTTTCTCTCAATTTGGATGTCAGATTACCACTACGCTTTATTACACAAAATTATAGCCTTAAATTTTTTATTCAACAAATAAATGTAAAAATACAATTGTGTTCGGATAAAAAATGCATTCTTCGGACTTCTGTTAAAAATGGATCATATGTGGTCCCTAGAATCTCTTAATAACCTTTTGAGTAGTATATGTTGCGGGTTTTATGACGAAATTTGTAAACCTTAAAAAACTCATAACATTAATGAAGAAAACGGCTTAAAATTCATGATTTTATTAATTTTTGGTCATTTCTTAGTACCTTCATGAGTTTTCTAAAGCAAAACCCATGATACCACATGAACAAAACCCCTATTTCTTAACAACCCCTTACTCAGAAATGGGCAAAAATAACTGATGACGAAATTTGTAAACCTTAAAAACTCACGAAATTTCATGAGTTTTTTAAAGCAAAATTCATAAAAGGGTACGAGTTTTTTAAAGCAAAATTCATGAATTTCATTAATTTTACGGTCATTTCTTCATAAATTTTGCGCAAAAATGACCAAAAATATTATGTGACGAAATTTGCAAAAGTTAAGAAAACTCTATAATTTTGACACTATGATGGTAAAATTATACTATTTTTTCTGGTTCGTATCGTCTTCCTGCCCAACTTTCAAATGCTTCATTCCTTGTTGAAGTCTCTAGTTTTTCATTCCATGCTTGAATGTCTTCATCAGTATGTAGATTCTGATCAACTTCGGCATTAAATGCATCAATCATGTTTTGTCGAAATTCCATTCCAGCTTCACGTGTTGGTATATTTGTTTCTGGCAAGGGGAGTGTTTTCGGATTTATATATTCATGATTTTCTTCACGCCATTCTATGTAATTTGTTGGTCTACCATCTTCATCTAAATAAAATTGTCCATCATCAGTGAGTAAACGACCCATAAAATCACATCGCTTGAATTCATCATCAATAAGCTTATAGAAGGCACGATTGTCAACATCATCCATGATTCTAATTTTTTCAGGTACTTCAATCTCAGCTAAAATTCCCTTCTGTGCAATATTTTGCTTTTGATAGTTTTCGGTTATTGATAATTTTGATAGTAAATTAGGTTCGACCACGAATAAAATAGTGATGAAATCACAAAACTTTTGAAGAGCCGGTTCTTGAATGAGACAGTTGAATTCAATAATTTCATTTTTCCCACGTACCTCATTGTGGAAAATAAAATTATATAAACCACCTTTCAGATAAAATACTTGCATATGAATGAAATCAGGAAGAACATCATTGAATTGAATAAACTCACATTGTTGAGTTGGTACAAAATAATAATAAAGTTTTATGTCAACAATATGGTGAGAAGCCAAGCTTAGTTGTAAACTTGAGTTAGTATACATATCTTGGGTACGGCGGCACTGCGTTCCACCTTACCCAACATAACGGTTTGACACTTTACAAAACCGTTAACGTATATTTTACAACACAAACGACAACACTAACTTAACCTTAAATATTTACAAAGCCGCCAACCACTTCACCTCACTAACGACTTCGCTAACGACTTCACTAATGAAAAAATAAACGTTCTCACTAACGTTCCCACTAATGTTCTCATTTACAAAAGTATTGCAACTCCTCCCATTGCTGTGCTTCACATAACAGCTCATATTCTTCAGTATCGCTGCTGTCGCTCCAATCGTCAGAGTCAAAATCACTGTCAAAATAAATGTATGTAAGTTTTGACAAAGCTAATGAAACACGCTTACCGTTTGTATCTATTGCTTTTATATATCTCCCATTATGTTTGTTGTCGTAAACGCTCAAACTAACTTTACCCTTTCTCCCTCGTATCTGATAGAATGTATTTTCACGAGGAACGAAGAACAAATTCCTGAACTCATGACCGTTGTAGTTTGTTATCTCAATAGTTTTCGTCATTACATCCAAATAAAAATTTTCAGTAAAAATAAAACTAATGAAATATTTTATTCCTCACTGTCGTCTGCTTTCTCCAACTCTTCTAACTTCTTCTTAAGTTTAGCAATGTTGTCCTCATGAAGTTTAATCTTTCTCAAAATTCCTTCTCTATCTAATGGTTGCTTTATCTTTCTAAACTGAACTCTACCATCCTTCATAGTATGAACGTAAAAACCTTCTGGAATAGTTCCTGATTTAATGTATTCTACCAAAAACTTTTGTTTCATTGCTTCAGTGACTTTAGTCGTCATTTTACTCTAAGGTGAAGCTAGCACAGCGATAATGAATTTCATGACTTTTTAGTATTTCATGCAATCTTAACAGATAGCCTTACAAGTACTTCCAGTGTCCCTAGCTGTCCCTCCTTTTTATATAACTCCATGACATTTATAATCTCGCGAAACTTAACAGGTAGCATAACAGATTAAAATCAGATGAGGTTTTGAACCAAAATTTCTAAGCAACGTTGTCAAGGATTTTGAGGAACTAGGGACAGAGTGTGGCAAAGTCCAAGATTTAATTTATCTTCATCTGTTTCATCAGCTATCTCATCTAATATGCCAATATTTTATTCATAACTCGTGGCAAACTCACTAACTTTCATTATGTTCATCTGCATGCTTCATCTGATAGAAAGTATGACTTTCATTAACTCTGTGAGATAATGAAAACTACTAGGGACAGAGACCATGGCAAAGTTTATGACTTTCATTATTTCCAGAACTTAATGAAAACTACTAGGGACAGAGACCATGGCAAAGTTCATGATTTAATTTATTCTCTCACTAACAACAAACACAAACTCCAACACTAACATCAAGTACTAACTTCAGCACAAATGACAAACACTAACAACAAACACAAACTCCAACACTAACGACAAAAATAAATGTCCTCACTTCTTAACAAAGTAATATGTGCTTCTTACACCACCATAGCTCAAACGTTTCTTTTCAAACATCGATTGAAACTTATTTTGAGCCATTGGCTTTAGTCTCTTTTTCTTCAAATACGCCAAGAAATCTTCTTCACATCTTTTCACTTCATAGCCTTCTTTAAACTCCTCCTTGTTAAGTTCTATGAAATCCTTTATCTCATTCTTTGTTGCAATGGCTTCTTCACGAACGACATCGTGAACTATTTCATCATTGCATTCATGTATGACCTCCTCACTGTTCTCATGAACTATTTCAACACTGTTCTCATGAACGACCTCCTTACTGTCTTTCATAAGCGTTTCAAAGTCTCCTTTACTCATTACTTCAATCTCATGCTGTTCACAGTAGTACTTAAACTCACTGTATATGTCTTTGTTGTATGTTATATTGCTTCCCATGTACTCCATGAATTTTTCAAGCACTTCCTCATAATTCACTGTTTCTTTCTTTCTACGACCTTCTTATATCATACTTGCTTCGTAAATATAACTTCTTGCAGAACCGTCTCGCTTTCTACTTCTCTTCACAAATTCTCTCATCTTGCCACCAAATACATTTGAACTACATGCAAAGAATTCATTCTCCTTCGCAAATTCTTTATATCTTCTGTAGCACTCTGTACAATTCCATCCGGATACAAACTTTTCATAGAACTCCTCGTAAAACATTTGGTAAGGTGTTTTGTTCATTTCGATGAGTTCTTGTTTAGCCCTGGTGAATGGTATCTTCCTTACATCAAATTCACTTAAATCTTTCTTCATGAAGTACGTCAGTAAGTTTGAATAAAACTCTTCATTAAAGCTTTCAATGAGATTTGAGAAATATTCGTAATTTCCTTTGTATCTGCTGCTTACGTCAATGACAACAAATCTTCTGTCGTCTTTGTCAATCTTTACTGAGTTGAAGTTGTTAGATATCATGATGATATTACAAACATTCTCTATCTTTCTTACTGGCTGACACTTCTGATTTAAGTCCAACTGAGTCTCTGTTACTATTGACTTTAGTGCGTCGTGGTTCATGACCTTAGACGTATCGCATGAGCTTAGTTCATTGCATACGATGAGCTTCATGTTCTCAATAGCAGCATTGAATCTACCAACCACATTCTCTATTGCCGTTATATTATTGTTGGCGTACTTGCTAATGAGCTCGCATAGAACATTACTAAGTACATTCTTACCAGTTCCTTGCTTTCCTATTAACAAAAGTACTGTTCCAGTCTTTCCACAAGGATTTTGAACGATGTAGGCGAACCAGTTCAAAACATACTCATAAAGCTCTTCATCCTCATTACATATGACATCGTGAACATGTTTCAAATATCCTTCAATAACGCTTTCATCTACTTCATTCAGTACCTCATACTCATATCCTCTGAAATATAGCTGTAAATGTCATCTCTTTCGTCAAAGAATCTCATGCCTGACTTCATAAGATAGTTCTTGTTCTTACCCGCTTCATAAATCATCAGTGCGTTCACATCCTTCTCCTCAATACGTCCTACATAAACACTCTTCATGAGCTTATTGAATTCCTTGCTATCTACTGACACAAGTGTTGTTGTGTCTCGTATTCCATCATAATCTTTCACTAGATATGTCATACGTGCTCCGTCAATAACAACAACACATCTTCTTAAGTCATTTATAACACTAGCTATGTCAATACCTTCTTCACTCATGTACTTATTTTTCCACAAGTCCTTTAGTGTGAAAGTGTCTCTAAGTTCTATTTCAAACAATTCATTTACACATCCTTTGCAATACTTCTCTATAAAATATTTCTGTCGTTCTTTACTAAGTTTCTTAACAGCTCTAAAGAACCATGTGTTTTGACTCAAACATCCTTCACAACTTCTCTCATTCATTCCTAGTTCTTTCATGTCATTATCTTCAACCTCTATGGTCTCATTGACTAAGGTCAAAGGGTTCTTAGTCATTGCTGGTCTTATCTGAAACAATGTTTGTGCAACAGGTTTAACTAGTTCAGCAACGTCCTTCCTTAATATGAATAGCTGTTTCCACTCATCTTTGCTAACAGTTCTTTCATAACCACTGACAGTAATGATTTCATTTGCTGACCTTAGACACTTATGTTCTATCATTTGTATTGCTTTTGTGTAAGGCTTTCGTGAGCATAGGTTGTATATGTCATTCCTGCAATGTTCATTCATGCCAATAGTACTAAATCCTTTCTTTGCTGTTGAGTGCATAATATCCATTAGTTCCTGTGTTCGTATTGCTGTCTCATAAAATACAACAAGACCTTTGTCATCTATGACGTACTTACCGAAAACATTGCTTATATTCTTTAACCATGAAATAACATCCTCATTCATGCTGTCAAACATGAAGTAAGGTCTTACATACTCTTCACTTATAAGATACTCCACAAAGTACTTGTTAAGCTCTATGTCCTCGTGAGCGATTTCATTAGGTTTGATATTAGTTCCTTTTGTCATTGCTGTCATGTACTTCACCCTCATAGTTCCTTTCAATAGCGTAAAAGTACTTCATTGTTTCATAACTGCTCTAAATTCTGTTCAAAATTCGTACAACATAACTTTTAACATTAGTGAAAGAACATGAGCGAAACAACAACATCTAACATTACAGAAGAAGTCAATGACAATGCCGATGAAAACATTACAGAAGGAGCTAGTGAAAATATTGACGAGTTCAGTGAGGAAGAAGATATTGAGGACGTCAATGAGAACGTTAGTGGGGAACAAACTCAATGGGAAACATTGAGAAATCATGAAGATTATGAGATTTGTACGACATATCCTTTTACTATTCGTCGAAAGAAAGACAAACATATTATGAGTGAATGCTTAAATAATTATGGTTATATTGTGCTTAGTTTAAACAACAAAATGTACTTAAAGCATAGAATTATTGCAGAACAGTGGATTGAAAATCCAAACAATTTGAAAGAAATAGACCATATAAATCATGATAGAACGGACAACAGAATCTCAAACCTTCGTTGGTGTTCTAGATCTGAAAACAATAGAAATAAAAGCAAGTATGGTGATATAGTTTATGAGTTCGTTGATGAAATATCTGACGAAGCTGTTGAAATAACAGATTATGGTAAGCATTCGTTTGATTTCTACTACTATGTTGAGAATGAGGACGCATTCTATTATTATACAGGTCTTAACTATCGAAAACTTCATATAAACTTTACAAAAACAGGTGCTGCTTATGTTTGTATGATAGATACAGAAAACAAGAGTGTAATTTTATTCATAAACAAATTCAAACGCTTGTACGGCTTCATGTAGGACAAACATTATTTTTCAACACTAACGCCAACACGTAGGACAAACATTCATGACTAACATTACTGTATAACGTAAATGTTTTGTCATGACTTCTTCGTATATGTTTTGTCATAACTTCTTCGTAAATGCTTTGTCAAAACTTCATCGTAATGAACGTAAATGTTTTGTCATGACTTCTTCGTATATGTTTTGTCATGACTTCATCGTATATGTTTTGTCATGACTTCATCGTATATGCTTTGTCGAACTTAAACGTATATGTTTTGTCATGACTTCATCGTAAATGCTTTGTCATGACTTCATCGTATATGTTTTGTCATGACTTCATCGTATATGTTTTGTCAAAACTTCTTCGTAAATGTTTTGTCATGACTTCATCGTAAATGCTTTGTCAAGACTTCTTCGTAATGAACGTATATGTTTTGTCATGACTTCATCGTAATGAGTGTAAATGACCCAAAATATATTTTAGGGTAGAAGGGTAGATCTAACCTCATTTCTACCCTCTTTTCTACCCTCTTGAATTTTCATACGGAATCTCTTCTCTCGGTTTTCCGAGGGAAGCAATCATATGAGGAAATTCTTCTAAAAGTTCTTTTGTCTGTTGGTTTTCAAACCAATGATATGCTTGCTTTGTAGAACGAAGAGTATTATAAGGCATTTTGTGAAGAATATAGCAATCGCCGGAATTCAGACGGTTGCTTTTTATACAAAATTCACGCAGGAAAATTCTTGAGTTTTGGTTGAAAGAATACGGTCAAGCCAAAAGTGGCTCGACCTCAAAACAAACATTTTATGAGCTTACTAAGGCGTTATGAATGAATTCAAAGGTATTTGCATACATCCTGACCTCGTTCATTTTGTTGCTGAATTCAGCAAAAATAATGTTTAGGGTAGATGGTTTTAGGTGTCACTACGTCACCATGTCACCAGGTTAATTAACTTCTCTTAAAATTACTGACAACATGACATTTAGACAACAGTCCAGGAAATAAACTTCATCGTTAATGCTTTGTCATGACTTCATCGTAAATGTTTTGTCATGACTTCATCGTATATGCTTTGTCATGATTTCTTCGTATATGCTTTGTCAAAACTTCATCGTAATGAATGTAAATGTTTTGTTATGACTTTGTCATGACTTCATCGAAACTAAACATAAACACTTTGTCAAGACTTTGTCAAGACTTCGTCGTAAACACTTTGTCAAACTGCATCGAAACTAAACGTAAATGCTTTGTCAAGACTTCATCGAAACTAAACGTAAACACTTTGTATAAACTTCTTCGTATATGTTTTGTCATGATTTCATCGTATATGTTTTGTCATGATTTCATCGTATATGTTTTGTCATGACTTCATCGTAAATGTTTTGTCATGATTTCATCGTATATGTTTTGTCATGACTTCATCGTAAATGTTTTGTCATGATTTCATCGAAACTAAACGTATATGTTTTGTCATGATTTCATCGTATATGTTTTGTCATGATTTCATCGTATATGTTTTGTCATGACTTCATCGTAAATGATTTGTCATGATTTCATCGAAACTAAACGTATATGTTTTGTCATGACTTCTTCATCGTAATGAGTGTAAATGACCCAAAAATAATGTTTATGTTAGAATGTTAGATCTAACACCTTTTCTAACATGTTTTCTAACATGTTTTCTAACATGTTTTCTAACATGGAGGATTTCATTAGATATACACATTCTTCCTTCATTTCATTCTATACACAATTTACATCATAGACGATTTAATAGATATAATACTTTACTGTTTCATCTAATATAAACATTATTTGGTGAAAGTATCCTAAAAATATTTGATGGACTTTAACTAAAATAATGTTTGGGGTAGATATACACATTCTTCCTTCATTTCATTCTATACATCTTGAATTAACTTACCACCGTTCATCTTGCACTTCTCACAATGTTTATAAAATCTTGATTGGTTCTTTCTATCTGGATCATCAACTAGACTGTAAACTTCTTCTTTGCAGTAAGGACAAACTCTAAATCCTACTAATCTCTCTACATCTGTTATTGCATCTGTGTGTAGCTGCCCGTCTTTGTTCTTTGTAAGCAAGAAGTTGAGAGTTTTGTAGTTCGGATCAACGATGTAACCTTCAACTAATTCAAAATCTACATCTTCGACATTTATATCTTCTTTTTCCTGAGGAGAACAGTAATAATAGTCAATATTTACTTTAAACTTTCTGCATAGAGCTTCTGATTCTTTCGCGATGTCAAATCCTTCATAAGAATCAATGGCTTCATTCACATATTTCTGTCTGGTTTCTGGGTTAACTCCTTCAGGAATATTATAAAATTCTTGAAAGAGTTTCTTCCCTCCAGCAATGATTTGATTGTCATTCATTTAATAAACGGAAAAAAGTGTAAAGATTAGTAAAATTAAGTTTTTAGTCGAAATTTTTAATGGAATATGTGGTCAACGTTATATTGTTCACTCCAGATTTGGCTGGAAATTATTCTCTGAAGGTCTTCCAAAATGATTCCGGCACTGGTTTCATTTCTGTACCTTCTTGAGTGTCGCCAGGTATTGATCAAATCCGTGAAGCAAAATCTTAAAAGGACATCATCAGGTGTTTCAAACTCCATCAGTGGTTCTTCGGGATAGAGTTCACGAACCATCTTTCTGTATTTCCAATATGGGACTGGAACCTGATGGTTTTCGTAATATTTCAGCTCTGCGATGATCTTTTGTCCTTTGTCCGAGATCCAAAAGGAAGCCTTTTTGTTTCCTCGATCTGTGTGAGCCTTTGCTTCTTCTAACTCCCTCATAATCTTCTTGATTTCATTGTCTTTGGCGATTAGTTCAGATCTGAGCATTTGAGCTTCTTTCTTCGTCGCTTCTAGTTCTTCTTCTTTAAGTCTCCTTTCTTCTTTCTCGTCTTTCTTGATTTGTTCCTGAGTTCTTCTTTTGATCTCTGGATCGTTGAGCAGGGCTTTCATCTTTTCGTAGAGTGCAATGTTTTCTCTTTGGGTTTCCTTAATATGTGTCTGGCTTCTCTTCAATTCCTCAGTGACTCGATTGAGATTTGATCTTGCTTGTTCCAGTTGCTTTTGTACATCATCTTCTTGTATCATTTGTGTAGTAGTTCCTTGTATCATTTGTGTAGTAGTTCCTTGTATCATTTATGCTGTAGTTCCTTGTTCCATCGGTGTTTCCAGATTCTGATCCTGATCTTCTTCCTCTTCATCTTGCTCTGACCACCATTGCTCTTGTTCTCTTCTCCTTTCTTCTTCCTCTTTCTCGCGCTGTTCCTGCTCTTTCATCTTCTGTAATGCTGCCAACATCTTCGTGCGTGCCATTAAAAAACTGAAAAATGACGATTATTTTTCCCTCAAATTCCTTCAGAAAGAAAAATAAATTATTTTTAGTTTTTAATTATGATTAAATAAATGGATTTCAGTGAACTGCCATACGCAGCACCATATAAAGATTATATTGATGTCTTTGAGAAATTATTTAATCTTACACCAGAAGAAGATATGAATGTTTTTCTCGATCAAATCAAGAATGTTTTAGTCAATAAATATCATATAGATATGAAAAACTTTTTTTATAATCAGGGTTATCTTTTATTAGATACCAATTTCAAAGCAGTAGATAAATATAATTTCCTATTTGAACATTTTGATGCTTATCCACCTGTAAATATTGAGTGCAACTACCTGATCAAAAAGTTCTTTCTTAATGATAATATTGAAGAATTTAAAAAATATATTGTCGACAATCCATTACCAGCTAGTTTGTACTTTTGTGAAAAATATATAACACCATTCAAAGCTTGCTGCAAATTTGGTGCAGTGAATACATTTAATTTTATTAGGAATAATATGCCAGATTTTAATGAATTGTTGGATATATCTTTGTTTCGAGAAGTAGTAAAGGGGAAAAATCTTGATATGATTAATGAATTTTTAAAGAACAATATTAGATTCGATGGACAATGTGTTCAAACTATGATTCAGACACATCAACACGAATTGTTTGAATTTTTTCTAAAATGTGTGGACCTGGATCAATTTCCAGACTTTAAACCAGTTAATTATGTCTTTTCCATTCAAACTTGTCATAATTTAGCAGCGGTGTTTTTATTACATGAGCATAAGCTTCCTGTCTTTCCATGGTGTGTAATTTTTCCTGAAACAAAGATGTTATGCAATCAAGGAATTCCTAAGTTAACAAGACTTGACGCTCGTGTAAATTCAATCCTTCATTGGGTATTTAAATCACGCGATATTGATTGGATCAAATATGTAATAACTACCTTTCCAACATTTGAAGAAGACATAAATGGATTATTAGAAGATGCTATTATGGAACAAAAGAATTATGAAGCATTATTATATCAAATCTTAGAGTTTTATTTCGAATTGAACATTGATCCAAATGTACAGGGATATTATGGAGCTTTTCCTATAATCGCTTTAACTTATATTGACACAAACCAGCAAAACCCAGAACTTGTTGATGATTATATAATCAAACTTATAGAAAAAGGCGCAAATTTCTGGATACGAGACAACCATGGATATACAGCTGTTGAAATATTTTGCAGATGCAATCATTTCAAAACAATTGTATATTTATTGCAAAATAGGTTGATTACACTGGATAATATTTATGAGGATACCCAACTTGCTCTACAACAGTATTTAATAAATAAAAATATAACACTTTAATCCTTTAAAAGAAAATATAAAGCATTAAATGTGCATAAATTTTTTTCATCTTCAACATGTCTGATGCATTTCAATTTGCTCAAGAATGCATAACCTTTTGCTTGGAATTTGCCACCAGACTTTCTTAAAGGAATAACTTTGAACAAAGCTGTTGTGATTGCACAATATTTCATTCTTGATGACATGTGTGTTTGTTCCATCTTCTCAGAAATGTTCGCATAAACGTAATGTTTATAGGAGTTCATGTCTTTGATGTTTGAGATCGTGAATGGGATTGAAGGTTTAACTTCATCTTCTTTTGGTGGTGTTAATGAATATTGTTTGGTAACAGAATCTTCAGTAACAAATCCAAAATCACATAAGATCTTATATGTTCCTTTCGTTTTTGTTGCAATATCATCTAAGTAATCTAAGATCTGCTTTACATCTGAAACATTGTTGAGGTAGTATAATGTATACAGTCCTTTGTCTTCAATATTTTTGGAATTCTTTTTGTAGTGATTACTGGCAAGAACTTTCTTGAAAGCGACTTCATCTAATGGATGGAACAGTTCGATACAATCAAGATTAGAATCCATGAACTGTAATTTATGTCTTTTGACAAACTCTGTACCTTCTTTGGATAAACTTTCATCAAATTCACCGTTCAATAAATTCTGTGAAACTTCTTGAACAAAATCTTGGAACCTTTCATCATGGGACTTCTTTAATGGTATCTGCGCTGTAGGAATATTCATTAATTCCTCTATTTCAGCTTCAGTATCATTAACGTCAACATGAGGTTCTTCGATTTCAGGTTTTGGTTCTGATCCAACCAAAAAGTCAAGAATTTCGTTTTTCTTTGCTTTGCCGGTGTATTCTTTATCCAAAATATCCTTGAAAAGTGCTAAGTTTTTCAAATAGTTGTTTGAAGGTTTGTAAGATTGATCGTCAGAATAATATTCATCATTAATTTCTTTAATTTCTTTTAAAGAATCAAAGACTTTCTTTAATTTACTAAATGGAATTTTTTTCTTACTCGTTCTCATTTAATTCAAATTAAAAAATGACACTTTTTTAAACGATAAGGTTTTTATTCATAAGAATACTAAGGTGATTCCAGGACCTTGTTTTTGTTTTTCTTCATCCATTCGTTCCAGAATGTATTGGAAATCTTCCACGAACTTTAAGAAATCATATTCCTTGTGAAGATATTTATTGCACAAATAGGAAATGTAATTCCATAAGCGGATGCTCTCCATATCAGTAAGGGGAGTATTGCCATATACTTCTTTGAAATGACTTTGTAATTCTTCGACTGTGACTGTTTCCTTAGTGACCCATGACTGAAAGAATTCATGAAACTTGTCCAAGCTCATTAAAAAATGACACTTTTTTAAAACGATAACGTTTTGTAAACGATAAGGTTTTTATTCGTTTATGTTTGGATTAAAATGTTTGGCAATCAAGAAAACTTCATCCTGAAGATCAGCAATGGCTTCCAGAATTGAATCAAGTTTCTCATTGATTTCTTTGAAAGAAACTTTTTGTTCATCTTCTGATTCCTCTTCTGATTCTTTTGGTACCTCATCTTCTTTTGGAAGCGAGAAGAAGTATTTCTCAATGGCCTTGTCTATTTCTTCATGGAACTCCTTTAATGGCATGTCTGAGAAACAATGTCCCATAAAATTTTGATTATAGATCATTCGAAAAATTTCTGATTCAGGATATTTCAAACAATTCATCAATTTTTCTTTGACCATCAACAAGTAAGGTAGACTAACAATTACATCTTGATCTTGATTTTGTGAATCAAATAAGGTATCAACATCTTCAATGAACTTTTCTTTGGTAATACCATGTTGATCAAGGACTCGACGTTGGGCAAAGACATTGAATTCCAAATCCATTACTAAAAATGACACCGTCAGACCATGTGGTCATTTCACTTTTTTCATGAGTGAAGAGTTAACTGTTCTAAACTTTGAAGATGCACAGTCGTTCAGAAAAGCTGCTTGGCAATATGCAAAAGAAAACAATGAAGCATTTGTCGATTATGCCATGAAGAACTTTCGTGACTTATTTGAAAGAAAAATTGGTGAAATCGTTGTTGATTGGTTCATTCAGAGACATATGATTGACTCAAACTAAAAAAGTTATTTTTATTAAATTAATTTTTTATTCTTCTGGTCTAAAGTTTGTTAGAATTGCCAATTTCAATTCCTGATAAATGAGTTCAAGGAATTCATTATGAGCAAAAACTTCATTAGGAGAGGTTTCGCAATTGAATTGAATAAAGTACTTCAAAAGCTTAGTAAAGTAACTAAGATTGTTGCGATCACCATAAAGTTCATTGAATTTCTCCATTGCTTGGACTGGTGTGTAATTCTCCATGGGTTCTAATAAATTTGCGAACTCACAAAATCTTGTCTTGTCAGTGTTCATCATTAAAAAATGTCACTTTTTAGTTTTTTCAATGGGCTACGACGAGGACATGTCTTACATAAAGAACTCAATGAACTTTCTCACGAATGCAATCATTGTTTTCTTTTGTGTTAACCTTTTCATTCTTCTATTATTCATGATGTTGTTCTTCTGTGAGTTTCACGGACAATTGAATCGTCAAACTAACATTCAATACTTAAGAACAGCAAATGATGCTCAAGACTTACTTAAAAACAATTGAATAAAAAAATTAATGATTTATTCATTCTTTTTTTCTTTAATGTTTCTACCAGTTCCACGTTTGATCTGATCAAGAGAATTCATCATGTCATCAAGATAACTTACTGATTCTTCCAATTTACGCAAAGACCTTGCGTCAAATTTATGTTCTTTTATCTCTGTCTCAATGTCTAATTTGAGTTGCTTAACCAAATTCATTATCCCTTCAACAGATGATATTAAAAGTGAAGTGGTCAGAGTGAACGGTTTTGACAGTTTATTTACTCTAATGGAAGGATTTGAGTTCATGCCACTTGCCAGCAAAGAAGGTGCAGAAGAAGTTGTTGTCGCTGCATTCTACGCTAGCTCACACGTTGACGCATTCCGAGCTTACCAAGATGATCTTGTAAAAGAAGGTCGAAAGCTTGGAAAGATCCAAATGTTGCTTGACTTCTTCCGAGGAAATCTTGCACAGAAGTACGAGAAAAAAGAATAAACAATTAATTTATTAATACTTAATTTTGTCACTTTTTATTTTGTCTAATGGAGTCAATGACACCTAAAGAAAGAGAAGAACTTGAAGAACTCAAAGATGCTCTAGTTTATTCTTATCAACATGTTGAAGAATATAAAGAATACCTTAAAGTCCTCAGAGACGAACACAATCCTACGATCAAGATCTACGATGCCCTCATTGACTTCTATCGTAGACGTCTTGCAGGTCATGAATAAAAAGTAATTTTAATCAATGTAAGTTTTTTACTCTGATCTTAGATTTCATCGGGGCATGATGAAAGAATGAAGTCCATAAGTTCTGCCTTTGTTTTAACAAGAAGTATGGCGGACATGAGGAGTTCTCTTCTGTTGGAACCCATTGGAACACGACCTTTCCAATTGCGCATTGATCTCAATGCTGGGACTGTAAAGAACTCGAGAACGTAAAGTCTTTGGGACTTAGGGAGGAAGTCGTCTTGTTCCCTCTCTGCTTGTAGTGTTCTTGTCGAAGCTGTTGACTTGATTTCGTCTTCTTCGATCGGATCGTAATCTTCTTCACCTTTCTTCATGGTCATACGTTCACGCTTGTAATCATTCCTGAGAGCATTGAGTCCTGCTTCAAGATCTTGAGGATTCTTTGTAGGTTTCCATAAAGGTTTCTCCTGTTGCATTTGTTGCATAAGCTGTGTTTGTTGTTGCATCATTTGCATCATCATTGTCATCATGTCTGGTGTCGGTGCTGCTTGAGCTGGTGTCGCAAGTTGGTCTTGGGACATTTGGTCCGACGGTTTAGAACGTTAAGTACCGGCACATTTTGTACTGACACGTAAAGTACTGGCACAAGATGTGTCATTTCTCTCAAATTTGAATACTTTGGCGCGTAAAGTACTGGCACAAGTTGTACTGACACGTAAAGTACTGGCACATAAAGTACCGGCACAAGTTGTACTGACACGTAAAGTACTGGCACAAGTTGTACTGACACGTAAAGTACTGGCACATAAAGTACCGGCACAAGTTGTACTGACACGTAAAGTACTGGCACAAGTTGTACTGACACGTAAAGTACTGGAACGATAAATACCAGTACTAATTGTCCATGTTTGAACTTCATCCGATCTGTCAGCTTGAGATCAACGAAGTTGTTTCGAATTATCTCCTACAAGTCTTCAGTACCAATAGATCAATCCAACTTACAAAAGTTTCAAGACGCCAGATCCAAAGACTTGAAGCTGCAGCAGGAGTAATTTTAAGCTTTGAAGAAGGTCTTACAGAGAAAAGCGACATCCTTGACTCAAAGCGTGAAACACTTGCTGCTTTCTTAACGAAACACCCATGGGTGAACATAGATCTTAAGATACCATACCAAGGTCTTGTTGAAACCTTTACGATTTACAGGCAACTCCTTGAAAGACCTGAACAAAACATTCTGGTTGAACGTGATGGAACATTAAATCCAACAGATCTTCAAGTTGAGAAAGAAGAAGCTTAAGAGTAAACACATTCATTTACAAACGTCACTTTTTTGAATTTTTTTTCATGAGCGTTCACGTGATGATCAATGATGACAAATCGACTCCATGGGAAGATATCATTGATGACATAGAGAATGACCTTGATGAAAATATGATGGGAGCAAAAACTTCAGTTCAGATCAAACTTGGTGAAGTTCAAGAAAAGATCTCTAAGACTGAAGCAAAATTAAAAGCTCTTACAGAGGTTGACGTTTATTACAGAAGTTTGGAAAGAACATTAAACAAACTTGAACGACAAAGTCAAAGTCTCATCATTGTTCTTCAGAAACTCAATCTTATGCGACAATCATACAATGATTACATACATGTTAGAGACTTACCATCATATTCTACTCCGGAGGTAGATTTTTCAGATATTACCCCAATCCTTGCTGATACAACCCTTACGATAGTAGGCATGCTTCCCACATACCCAGAGTATGATAACTTACCACAGCTCTTTGAGTATCTCAAGAAGAAGTTCATGATCTTACTTTGCGAGACCATGAAAGGGAGACAAAACACCAGAACAGAACGAGAACAAAGCTTATTAATTGACTTATTATATCATACTAAAGATATAAAGGAGTTTTTATTCTAACTTAGGTATTTTTGGGAAGAACTTATCTGGATCATATTTATCATCCACAGGTCTTGGTATCAAAAGTCTCTCTGGTTCATGGACTTCTGGTATAGGATATGTTTCCGATGTTTCCGATGTTTGCTTTGGTTTGTTTTGTTTGATTGGTTTGTTTGGCTTCTTTGGTTTGATTGGTTTGTTTGGATTGATTGGTTCAATCAGATCTTGAAGTTTTCTTGGTGCCTTTCTGGGTCTGAAATGTTCTCCATCTTTATCAGTAATAGTTGTGAACCAACCATTACCATCAAAGTTGAATATCTTCTCGAATTCAGTTCCTTCATCAACTATTATCTTCTTGATCTTTCTCTTCTCCATTAGTGGGAAAAGTGACATTTCTAATTTGAATAAACAAATTCAATTATAAAAAAGTGACAGATCGTTCATGATCTCAAATATTGAATAAACACTCTGAAAAAAATCGCTACCGATATGTTCTTTCACACTAATGTGTCTTGAATTGTTTTTTCTAATTTTTAAATGTGAACCTTATCCTAATGGGGAATATTGGGTTGGAAATGGTTATAAACCTGGTTGCAAGAGTGGGTATTACCGTTGCAGACATGCAGATAGTAATGATGAATGTTGTACTGATACAAATTGTGGAAGAGCACATAAAACACCAATGAAAACGTTTGCTATAACACCATTAATGACACCATTCACGACACCAGTCACGACACCTCTTTTAACACCAAGATTAAAAATTAAATCTCAAGAATTGAAATTTCAAGCTAAAAAGGAGATGTTATTACTTATTTTTGTATCACATTCAGTAAATAACTAAAAATAAATGGTGTCATTTTATTAAAAATAACCGTTGGTCATTACACTTTTTTCATTTCATTTTTCAATGTCTAATCCATTTCAAGATCCAAACAATCCTTTCAACACTGATGCTTCAGAAAGGTCTGAAGTAAGAGTAGCAAAGAAGAGTTGTTGGGATAAAACCAAAATTGTTGGTATTGTACTAATCGCAGTGATTGTTGTGAGTTAGTATACATATCAAGGGTACGGCGGCACTGCGCCTCCTTACCCATTATATGTGAATTTGACACTTTACGAAACCGTTAACGTATATTTTACAACACAAACGACAACACTAACTTAACCTTAAATATTTACAAAGCCACCAACCACTTCACATCACTAATGTTTTCACAAACGACTTCACTAATGTAAAAATAAACGTTCTCACTTACAAAAGTATTGCAACTCCTCCCATTGCTGTGCTTCATATAACAGCTCATAATCTTCTGACTCACTTTCTTCTTCATATAGGTCAAAATCACTGTCATAGTTTATACCTGTAAGTTTTGACAAAGCTAATGAAACACGCTTACCGTTTGTATCATATGCTTGTATAAACTTTCCATTATGCTTGTAGTCATAAACGCTCAAACTAACTTTACCCTTTCTCCCTCGTATCTGATAGAATGTATTTTCACGAGGAACGAAGAACAAATTCTTGAACTCATGACCGTTGTAGTTTGTTATCTCAATAGTTTTCGTCATTTATATAAAAATAAAATAAAAAATACAATAAAAATTAATGATATCACCACCCTCACACGTATGAAAACATAGCACAAAAATAAATTTAGGTGAAGTGGTGAAATCTCACCTGTTTTTTCACCCTGTTGAATTCATTGCTTTATAACTCTCTTCCTTTCTCCAACTCTTCTAACTTCTTCCTAAGTTTAGCAATGTTGTCCTCATGAAGTTTAATCTTCCTTAATATACCTTCTCTATCTAATGGTTGTTTTATCTTTCTAAACTGAACTCTACCATCCTTCATAGTATGAATGTAAAAACCTTCTGGAATAGTTCCTGATTTAATGTATTCTACCAAAAACTTTTGTTTCATTGCTTCAGTGACTTTAGTCGTCATTTTACTCTAAATAAAATGTTCAAATAAAATAAAAATAACGTTATTTTTTCAGTAAGGAAACGCAGGAGTTTTACAATTTATTTGAGGAGTAGGTTCTGGTTTAAATGTTGGAGTCGGTTTAGGAGTTGACTTTTGAACAGGAGTTTGTACTTCCATAGGTTCAGGAGTCATTGAAGGTTTTGCTTGTGAAGGTGTTGGAGTTTGTTTAACTTCAGCTACTTCAGTATTATTTACAACATTTGCTTTATTTCTTTTCAACATCATAACTGCTCCTGCTGTAGCTAGCAAACCTAGTGGGAGACCATATCTTATATAAGGACTTGACCAAATGCTATTTTTGACAGGAGCTGGTGGAACACCTAACCTTGGTGAGACTGCTCTTTGCCATTGTGCAGCTCGTAAGAAATATTCAATAGGTGCTCCATAATCGTTTGGTAAAGTTTGTTTCACAGATGGTGAAGGTTCACGAGAGCTTGATGAAGAACTCATTTATAAGCTTTAAAATAAACGTTCATCCTTTATTCCTCACTGTCGTCCGTAGCTAAGTTATAGTCATCTAATCTTATTATGGGGATGCCATTAGCACGCACCTGAATGGCAAAGCAACAATCCCTCATAAATCCAATAAGTGGCTTTGGTACATTTTCAGTTGCTAGTTCAATAGGTCCTTTAACAGACAATTTGTATGTTATTGGAGCAGTAGATGTTTGACCTTGCTGGAAGCAAAAGTCCACTTCTGTTGGAAAACCACATAAGAAATGTGTGTTGTCATAGCTATCCCATTTATGTTCCACACTACCATCATCCACCAATGACCTCATAACATCTTCATTAAGTCCAATCATATCATTGTTTGTATTGCAAGCGTTCGCAACCATTTCATAAAATACAGGTCCATATGATTTTTCAGGTTCTGCAGGCATATTTCCATAAGCTCCCATGGAAAGCTGAAGATATTTAAACTTAGGGTTCTCAAAATTAACATAATAGTTGTCTTTCTTTCTAAATAGTGTCCAAATACTTTTAACATTAATAGGCGTATAAGCTGCTGTAAATGTTGCACTTGAACTATCTGTATTCTTTGAGAATGAACCGTCCATAGGAATCCAATCCATAACTTTAACAGGAAAACATAAAGCCTCGTTTGTATAATGTTCTACAAGTTCTGTATAAATGTTAGGGTCTAAAGAGAATGACTTTGGATGAATAAAACATTCATTAAAATCCATCTTTGTTCGAAATAGTTGCTGGGTTACAGTTGTAATAGTAACTGTTCCACTAGCTTCTACTGCCTTCGTTATCATAGTGAATGGTTCATTCCATGGAACAAATTTATTTGTCGGTGGATTTGAATCTGAAGCAAATGCAACTTTAAGAGTTGGATTGAAAGCAATGATATCATTTACAGATATAGATATGCATTGTAAGGCGTCGCTACTGAACTTTACTTTAAGCTGAATGTTTCCTGCAAAAGCTGGAATAAATCGAATAGCTTCTAATGGAAGGAATCTTCTAACTGGAATTCTTAAACGAAGCTTAAAATCAAATGATTTTCCTGCTGTAATTGGACCACTAACAATTTGTCCTGTTCTGCATGTTCCCGAATGACTCCATACATCTTCATGTCGAGTCTTTGAGAAAACATCTACTTTCTTTATTTGTTCGGTAGTTTGTGAGTTTGAAGTTATATATGCTTCTTCTCTTGCGTTAGGGTTGTTAGATTCCCGACGATAGGTGTTTTGGAAGATTTGCCTGGTGTCATCATAGTGTCTTTAAATCAAAAATTTTATTTTGGAGTTAGTTTTATTGATTTTTCAATAAAAAACATTTCTAAAACAAGAAAATAAAACGATAAAATATTTATATTTTATATAAGGATCTTATATATTTAAAATAAATATCATTTTATTTTTTTCATTGGTGTCTGTCAAACCATAATACACTATTCAAAAATTCAATGTGTCTTGCGGTTTCAAAAGATACCTTCAAATTGAACGATAGCACAGACACTATTGAATTTTACCCATTTTATTTAGTTTTTACCCTTTTTATTTTTAAGAATTAATGACTGAAACAGCCGTTTTGCTATGACCTCAATCACTTTTATTTATTATTTTAAATATTATTTAATTTTATTATTTGAATAGGCCAACTTATATTTGAGAAGCTCAATTTGAGACCACTTAATACATTGAAATATCATAAATATTGAAATATTAAAAAGTGTATTTCAAAATATTGAAATTATAAAAATTTATAATACTGAAATTGAGACAAATTAATAAATTCAATGTGTTTTTTTTGAAATAACTCTCAAATATTATTTGTTGTTTATTTAATGATGAATAAATATGATTGCTTTAGTCAATCATAAAAACTAATTTAAGTTTAAAATAATGAAAGGATAATTTGATCGTTTTTTAAAATACAATTATTTTTGATGATTTGCAAGAATCTTTGAAAAGAATATAATATAGGTTCTATTTTTGTAAAATTTATCCAAATCATGTATTACATAAATTACGATTAAAACGATGAAAGAACCAAAAAGTGTGTTTTGTGTTTTGTTGTTGCGTGTTGGATGCGGGATCCTGTTATTTCCGAAATCGCCAAAAAATTTGGAAATTTAATTTCCGAAATCGAAATTATATTAATGTTTTTAATATTCTTATATCAAAAGGATTAAAGTTCATTAAGAGAAAAACAATTCTTCTTCTTCAATCTATTGGCGCATTTATTTCTACACGCCAATAAGGAAGGGAAAATTATAAGACACCATGGTGTCTTCAAAACGCTAATTTTTGATATTTTTAACAACCCTATCTTGCATTGTCTTGAGAATATACGATACGACCATTTGCAAGGATTTGATATCCAGCAACTGCATAGAAAGCGTCATCGAAACCAATCCAAAATCCTGGTGGGTTTGTTTTATTGGAACCTGAACCAATTTCTTTATCTACAATAAATTGACCTTCCATTTTATACGTAATGAATGTATTGTAAAGGTCCAACATATTTTCACCAGGAGGTGAGAGATTGAATGTTACCCATGTGTTATCTTTAGCAGTTCCAGGTTGTGATGGAATCTTTGCGTCAGAATATTTTCTATTAGTGTCACCAATTTGAACTGCATTGTCTATGATATCGAAATATGAGCGAATCTGATGAATATGCTCTGCTGGAGTAAATTCGTTGAGCTGTTCGTTCTGCATGTATTTACTTCAGATAAAAATATCTATTTACTTCATTATTCTCACTCTTCTTCTTGGCATTCGTGGTGGAAGTTGTTTCTTGACATTTTCAATGAACTGTACATTCTCTTTTGTCTCAACTTCTTTCACTGGTGGGTCAGGGTTCTTTGACTCGGTTTGTTTTTCAATGAAATTAACGAACTTTGCAATAAGCTCTTGGTTCGTTATTGAAAGTACATCTGGCTTCTTTTCTTCTGGTTCTTTTGGTGGCTCAGTTTGAACAGAAGGTTTTATATGGGCTTCGCCCTCGGTGCCATGCACCTTAATGTTGTCGCTTTCTGCATTCGCTAATGGGACCTTTCTTTTTCTTACGTATATTTTACCATCTTTACTCTGACTTACGTAATAGAAAGGATGTTGTATTCCTCTTGCGTCATTTAATATAATAGACTCTCGCTCTGATTTTGACAAGCTCATTTTACATCGGTTAAAGTTTTAATTTTGTTTTTTATCTGCAGTCAAATGACTCAGACAAGCCCTATGGACAAGACCCAAGGGGTCATAGATGTTGAAGCATTGAAGAAAGAAATTCGCGAGCAAATTTTATCCGAACTGAAGGAACAAAAACAAGAACAAAAGCCAGAGAGACCAAAGAGAAAACTTAGTGAAAAACAACTTGCTGCATTAGCTGCTGGAAGACAAAAGAACCCACGTTTGCTGGCGAAGAAAGCTAGAGAAGAAGCAAAAGCAAAGAAGAACAAAAAGCTAAAGAAGTTGAAGCAAAGAAAGAGTAAATGGTTTATTTTTATCCGAATTAAATGTATAGACAAATACCTTTAACTGTTGCGTTCAGTAGTGAAAACCCTGACGTCAAAATAAAGGGGAACAGAGTAACGTTTAAGTTTCCAACAGACTGGATTGTGAACATAAATGAAGAGAAGTACATTGGCATAACATCTATGTATATAACACGTGCTTTCAGAAAGGTTGACTTTATACTTCAAGTCGAGATAGAAAATGACGAACAGTCTTTAAGCGCCCAAAACATTCACATATACAAATACTTTAAAGACGATACAACATTGTTGCAATGTATGATTTCATTTAATGAGATGTTCGAGAAAAAGTTCAACATTGAAGTACAAACTTTACAGCCTTTACGTGAGTTTCTTGCACAACTGAAAGAAGAAGGTAGTCAGCCACAACTTATAGACTTTCATTATGAATTTAATGAAAATGAAGATGGAACTCATGACTGTCAGTTTGTTATATATTCACCATTCAATGAAGTAGCTAAAGAGAAAGAAAATCCATTACGTATAAGGTTTCAAATCTCTGAACCCAATGAAGACTTCAAGAATGTTTTCAATTATGATGCAATGCTTCCGAGGAAAAATGAATTTTCAAAGATTGTAACACCTGGCATTTGGGATAGAAAGCAAGCTATATTATATTCAAACTTAAGTAAGGGAGTTGAAAATGAGTTCATTGGTCATACAAGAACTTCACCACTTCCTAACCCTAAATACTATAAATTAACTGGCTTCAATCGTGAGTTTTGGATAGACATGTTCTCCACTCATGACCATAACTGCCCAGTGTTCTTGCCTCCAGATGGGAAGGACTGTCTCTACATTGAAGCACAACTCTTAAACTCTACCATCGCAGTATTGTAAAATCTACGCTAGCTTTATTTTTATCACGAATGACCTCATTGCTGACAAAAATAAATGACCTCATTCATGATCTCATTGCTGACCTCATTCATGACCTCATTGCTGACCTCATTCATGACCTCATTCATGACCTCATTGCTGACCTCATTCATGACCTCATTCATGACCTCATTGCTGACAAAAATAAATGACCTCAGAACTTCAACTTACGAATAAAGCTTGTTTTAGTCGTTATTGAGAAGTTAAACTTCTCTTCAAAGCAAGGTTGACATGACTTACATAAGTCAAATCCAATCTCTTGACCGTCATAAAGTGCTTTGTAAAGTTTCATTAAACTGAACTCAGAGTCTTTGTCATATGTTCCTTGCGGAACCATTAAACCTTTATCTTCATCATAGAAACACTGAACAGAGTCAGGAAACATTTCATTAGCGGTTAAAGCAATAACATCTTGCTTCACGCCTTTCATTCTGCAGTGAAATGCAACTTCATTTAAATCATTCGTGAGTAAGTCTATGTAGGTCTTCTTTCCACAAAATATTGACTTGTATGCTAAACTTTGTTTATCTTTTGTGATTTCTGCAAAGTCGCTATGAAATTGACCAAGGTTTTTACCAATGAGAACTCTTCCATAACGTTTCTCAAACTCTTCAGCTAAACGAGGGATATCTTCATTGTAGAGATGCATACTGTCCGTATCGCTATAAAAGATGTCCATTCCTAAGTCTTCAGCAGTACAGAATACTTCACACATTATTCTCTTCGACATAGATAGAATATTAACACAAGTGGACAGAAGTTAAAGTGTCTGCAAATGCTTTTCGTTAGCTTGAAAATAGTTTTATCTGAACCATCCAAACCTTCGAACTTCACTATATGGTTGTAGTTTCTGATGGCATATCTTATAGCATCTTTGTCATTTACTATGGTTATTTTTGACTCAATAGGAGATAGAATAGTTTTGCCATAAATACTGTTCAGAATGAGCTTTATATTTTCTTGCAAAGGATTTCCTTCTTTCTTATACTTTAACCTTAACTCAAACAACTTCTTTACTTCATCTCTTATTCTAATATCTCTGTTTCCATCGTAATAGTATCCTTGCAACACTTCACATTTGACACCTTGATATTTTATGAGGTCTTGTAATGTTATATGGTCAACATACATTAAACAGCAAGTGTTTGAACTTCTGGGAACGTTAAGTTCTGGATTTAGTTCAGGGACACAAACTATTAAAGGAAAGTGTCTATGTATTCCAATCTCTGTTATCTTAATGAGAACAAAGAAGCCAGACATAAACTTTTCACCAATGGGTTCCTTTTGGTCGTCATCGAATAAATGCTTTAACAAATATTCAGAACTTAACATCTCATCCTTCAATACTTTTGGAATTCCTTCTAAAGTATAAAGTCTTGCTATAGCGGATGGATATAATGAAACAGCGTCGAAGTCAGCAATGAGTTTCTTTTCGCTCTTTTGTTTCATGTTATCTGACAACATACATCTTCCACCTTGAATGCATCTCGAAATAAATTCTCTTGGTTTATTTGAGAGGTCATAAAGATTTCCATTCGGGAAGTATACTCTGTTCTCAAATAATTTGTTAGCAATAGAACAAATACTAACGTAGTCATAAACGTTTAAATCAAACTCTTTCAATATGTCATTGCGGAACTTAACAAAACCTTCTCTTAAAATTCTTACATCTTGTTTGCAGTAAAACGTGCTATATTTTTCTAAGTCGAAATGGTTTTCATCTATTCTGCAACCTTTGATGGAATCTATGTTTTTCATAAATGTATCTGCATCCCGGATAAACTTACATGCTTCAGAAATGACACCAGTTCTGTTGTCATTTGCTAACAAAACACTGCTGTAGTAGTTATATGGAAATACTTCTTTCGGTCCTGTTTGTAAGTTAAACATAGCAGGAAATAGTTTAAGCTTCTTATTTATAACACTGTAAGAGTCTTTTATAATAATTGCCCTTCCTTTATATAAGCCAGTTATTTGCATTGTTCGTGAACCTTTAATGATGGGAGTTCCTTTCACTTCTGTCATGTGTCTTAAGATGAAGTTTATATCATAACTGAGGTTATGGAAATATATTAAACTCTTGTCAGGAAGTCGTTCCAAAAATTCTGTTGCACAGTTCTGACCCCAAATGCTTTCACTCACTGAACCATCTTCACTGTCGTAACAGATGTTAAAAGCTTTATGAAAGCCGTCTGTGCTACACTCAAAGTCAGCAAAGAAAACATGCTCAGGAATGAACTTACATTTAGCTTTATTTACTTCTTTTGACTCTGCTTTCTTCTTCAGTTGTACACAATACTTTGGAGCATATGTCAAATCTTTAAATGGTGCAAGGTTCTGTTTATATAAGTCAGTCGTATATGTGAAAAGTTCTCCATAAGAAATAGGTTCGAAATATTTGCACTCCCACAATGTTTTCATAACATCCCATAGCGGTGTAGTTCTATCCATGCGAACTACATATTTATCTTCTCTCTTTGTATAAATCTTCATCTGTTTCTCAATGTTCATTCCACTACACTCCTTCAAGATTTCTATATAGTTGCGAATGAAATATGTTGTCATTGGAAGTCTTTCATTTAGCATGTAGTGGTCTTCAACAAGAAGTAAGTCAATAGTTCGAACAGTTTTACATTCTTTTGGTATGTATCTCTTTATTTCATTATGTCTTGAGTCATTGAAATAACCAATGGTAACATTAAATGCTATATCTGTTGCGTCAGAAATTTCTTGTACTTTACTTTGAGGAAAGTCTCTAACACGAATGACTTCTCTCATGTGGTCAATAGTTTCTTCATTTACTCCAGCCTGAATGCAAGCATAAACGAAACAATTGTCTTCTGTCATAAGTGCTGCAGTTCTTTTGTTCAGTTCATTGAAGATTTGGTAGCGTTCAAGATTTATAGGTAATGTGCAAAGATACTTCCAGAACTAACCGCTTCTCTTCTTATAAAACTTCTTTTCACCAAGGATTTCATTCCAGAAGTCATCTATATCTTGTTTATCTCCTGTTTGTTTAAGTCTGTTCAATAATCTTTTCTGTCTTTCTGTCAGTGTGCTTTCATCTCTATATGGTCGCTTCTGTGGCTTTCCTTTCTTAACATCTGACATCGTTAAGCCTTCATATTCTGTTAAATCATACATCTTTATTTCAGTAAGATTCTTTATGTTTGTCAAGAAGAAGTCATAGTGCATTTCAACAATACCCGCGGCATTTGCTTCTATCTCTGATATAAAGTTCTCCTTCAAGAGCTGATGTAGTAATGTTCCAATATTATTGAGGTTTAACGTAGAACATTCATACTTTCCACCAAGTTTATAACATACCATCCATCTTTGTTGGGAGTTTATTTTAATCTTCTCTAAGAGTCTCATGAAAACCTTACCGAAATGTTTGTGTAAGTAGTCTCTGTTTGGTTCATCTAAAGCTTCGATGTTAAAGTCAATGAGTCTATTGCCTGACTTCACATTTCTCTTCCTATTCTCTTCATCTTTCTTTAACCATCTCTCACCTTCTTTTGGTTTGTCGTCAATGGAACGAATGACATTATTAGCTTTGCGAACTTGTTCTATAGCACTTTTAAACATCTATCTTCTCTGTTGTTTCAGTGTGTCGTCTCTCTTTCGTGTTTCACCAACGTTTGCATTTGTTATGTCAAACTTCTCTTGACGAACATCATGCGAAAGAGCTTTACGAGTATGACCAACGTTCGCATTTGTTATGTCAAACATTTCTCTTCTTACTTCATGAGGTACTGAACGTCTATGATATAAGTCAATAGCAACGTCATTTAAAGGAAATGCTCTTGCATTTATGAACTCATGAATTCTATCATAAGTTATTTCACCATTGTAGTCATTGAGGATGTCAGCGAGTGCTTTTTTTGTTTGTCGCGTAATGTTTTGCAACATCTATGTTAGCTTCTGTAAGAAGTTGTTTTATTTCCGAGTGTTCTAACTTAGACAACTTCCGATACATCTTTAGTAGGAAATAAAAAAAATATTTTTTGAAAAAATTAGCTTAGATTTTTTAAGGCTAGTTTTAAAATATTTCGAACTTTTTATTTTAATGAAACACATGCAAGATTGCAAGTTCTTTTCATACAATGCTCTCGCTAATGCCATCAAGAATGAGTTCAATAATGCTTCAAATGTTAATGTTATCTTTAACAAGAAGTTTTTGAAAGAATCTAAGTTCGGTCAGTATGTCAGACCATTAGCTATCGTCATTGACCGCAAACGTTATACTTCACAAGAGTTAGCAGTAGTTTTGAAACAAAAGGGTTTCTTCATGAATGTCAAAGATACTCATTATACTGTCATAAAGAACTCTAACATTGACTTCTTCAGTATTGCTATGAATCTTTCCGAACAGAAAGAATATAAGAAGGATGAAACATCTGTGAAATATTATCCTTCATCTCTGAAGACAATAACGAACAAAGATGTTATACAGAAATTCTTACCAAAGGTTGAAGAAGCTTCTATTGACATTGACGAAGGAAGTGAAATGGTTGAAGAAATTGACCCTGACGTCATTTAAGCAAATTTATTTTTGAATAACTGATGGTGCCACTACGTCACCATGTCACCAGGTTAATTAACTTCTTTTAAAAATGATGACAACATGACATTTTGACAACAGCATGGGTTGAATGCAAAAATAAATGTTATCGTCAATGTTATCACAACTTCATTCTTCCTCTTTGAAGTTATCGAAATATTCTGTTATTTTTTCCTTCAGTAATGTTAAGTCTTCTTTGAATGTAAGTATTGTGCAACCTTTGATGTCATAGTGTGTTTGAGGAAGAGTATTTTTGACAATTTCCTTTATTTGCTCATTCGGTGTCATTGAAATCGGTAAGTTTTCACGATAGAACCAATTTCTGTCAGATTTGTAAATCTTAGCAAGGTCATAAAAGCTCTTGTTGTTTCTTCTGACTAAATGCAACATAACCATATCTTTATCTTCTTCTTTCTCCATCTCTTCAGCGTAAATCAATATCTTATAGCTTTTTTCCTTTCTTTTGGTACTGAACGTGGTATTCTTTTCTGTATGCTTTTGTCTTTGGATTCAATGACTTCATCTTTTGCTTGAAGTTTCTTTTCCATCTCTCCACGTTCTGCTTTATATAGTTCATCTAACATCATGAAAATATAACAAGCATAACGAGGTGAAGCCCACATTGCTACAGCATTTACTAAAAGTCTATGAACATAATAACCTTTCAAACCAGGTGCCAAATTCTTGCGATTTTTCGTACGGAATCTCTTCTCTCGGTTTTCCGAGGGAAGCAATCATATGAGGAAATTCTTCTAAAGTTCTCTTGTCTGTTGGTTTTCACAACCAATGATATGCTTGCTTTGTAGAACGAAGAGCATTCATTATACTTTGCATCTGGTACATATCGTCCTTTGACCGAAACGAATGAGTCTCAATTGTTTGTTATACTGTATGTATTCATATTCTTCATTTATGGCTTCATGAACGATAGCAGTTGTTGTGTTCTCTGTTGTTGACATATCTGTCTTTACATACAAAATAAAAAAATAATAAATAAAACTAACTTTATTTTCTGACTTTCACAAAAGACCAAAAATAAAGCGCTTTACATGTATTTTTCAGCAACTTCGTCAATAATTTTATAGCTTTATCTATCTCATCTACTTCAAACGTTTTCTTTACCTTTCATGGGAGCACCATACATTTTCTCAAAAACTTCAAGCAGTTCTGTTTCAGCAGCTCTCATATCATTAACAAACACAACCTTGACTCTACTTGACTGTACTGTCATATCTTTGAGTTATATTATATGTCCTTCCTATCTTATATCTTTTTGTGTTGAAGTCCTTCGGTTTCTGAACGATATAAAGTAAGCCTTCACTGCAACGTTCTGAGTCGAACGAACCATATGTTATGAAGTTATATCCAACAACTGGGTCTAACCATAACAAAACTATTGGTATAAGACTTTTGTCTATAAGATATGCTCTTGTTCCATGAAATGCTACTGAATATCATAAGCTCAGGATTTCTTGTCAAAATTTTCTGAGTTGAAGCATTTCTAACCCAGTCGTTTGTTTTCTTTCCAGATGGAGATATAATGTCTGACAAAGAATATTTGTTGTATTTCTTTGAGTATCTTACGTTTAAATCACCTATTCTAACCACTTTGGTGTCATTGTCTATCTTTCTAACTGTTTCAAACTCAATGTTTGTCATTTCTGTTCTTACATACAAAATAAAAATTTTTCTTAGAAAAAATTAGCGTTATTTTTCTAACTAATGAAATTCATTATTTTTGTTGTTGAATTCAATAAAAATATATTTTAGGTGAAGAGGTGAGATTTCACCTGTTTTCTCACCTAATTTTTCACCCCAGTTTATTTTATAAGCGTTTTACATGAATTGTACGATGTATATTTGAAATTCTAACAATTTCGTAGCTTCTATTTCTTCTGTCAGTATGTCAAAAGTTTTAACAATGCCGAAAGTTTCTTTATACTTCTTCTTGACGTCAGATAGAAGGAAATCGTCAGCTGTTGGATAGTTTTTGTTCAGAAATGCTAACATGTCCATTTTATCTTCTGCTGGTTTTCTACTTCTTTCTTTAAGTCAGCATAGTCCTTTCTCATACGTTCTATCTCTTTGACGGAGTAGTTATATTTCCTCATTGCTGCTTTACATTTTGAACATTGCGGATTCATTTTTGCGTTATACATTGAAATTTGACCTGCTAGAACAACTAAGGCGTCAATGGTTTTCTTTAACTCAAAAGTTGTTGGTTTTATTTGTCCATTCCATATTTTACATCTTTTATCTTTATCTCTTATCTGCCATACACATTCAGCAACTAATGAAACAAAGTTGTCGTATGTCTTAAACTCCCCAGATTTATATATGTCAGAGATGTTCTTATATACCATGTCGCAATCTTTGTCCATAACTTTATGGTTGCAATGATATCCTAGAAACTCATAGTTTACTTTACGTATGAACTTCTTTATTTCTACTGAGTCAGTTGGTTTCACTTCTATTTCATCGAATTCATGAATAGTTAGTTTTTGCTGCTGAATTTCAGGCAATTTGGGTAAATGGTCAATAATGTCCTGCATGTCATAAAGATACTGTTCATTTGTTTCATCTTTCACACTACAGTCTAAATTACTTGTTAAAAGTTCTTGCTTAATTCTTTGTATTTCTGTCTCAAAAGTATATGAAGAAGGAATAAAGCTTTTCATCTCTACCAACATTGACGTAGGATTCATGACTAGCGAGTTTGGTGCTGTAGTTGTTTGAATTGTTGTTGTGCCAATTGTTGAAATCATATCTTTTATACAAAATAAAAAAATAAATAAAAATAAAACTAACTTTATTTTTTCTATCTTAAGGAAATTCATGAAAATTCACGAGACCCAAAGGGTCTGAGCCGCTAAGCGGTGAGGGTGAAAAAACAGGAGAAAACAGGTGAAATCTCACCTCTTCACCTAAAATATATTTTTGGTGTAAATAAATGGTACCATTAATGATATATATCATGACTGTTCTCATTCATGTCTGATTTACATCCAACGAAAAAGTTTAGAAGAATTTTCTTATTCTTTCTGGCATATTTTTGTCTTTCCAGTACTCCCGCTCTAATGGTCCCAGATGTGTTGGCTTCGACTCTCTCAAGTTCTTAGATGGTATAACATCTTCAACGCCTCCTTCATATCTTACTTTATAAGTGTCATCGTTTATGTTATAACCAAGTATTTCAATAACCACTCCTCGCTTTGCTTCGTCAATGGTTTCAGCAAGTTTGCCATTACTACTTTCGACTAATTTATGACGAGGATAAAACGCAATAGAGTCGTCGGCAGCTTTTATAAGATATCCATTACCTTGCGTAGAGTCTACTATATAATAATTTCGACTTAACCTTAAACGTTTCTTTGTCAACGGTTTGTCGTCAAGAACTACACGAACTTTTGTACCAGGAATGAGGGTAAATTGTGTTGAATTTCTGATATTTTGTGTTTGGCTTCGTTTCTTTTGTATATACTTTTCTTCTTGTTGTTGTGTCATTGAATTTGGTGTATGTCCTGTTGTAGAATGTGTTGAGGAATTATATACTTCGAGAAAATGTTTCATTGTTTCTTCGGTAAAGTCTCGCTCTTGATTTAAATCTCTGAGAGTCCTTATGAAGCGGTTTATGATGCCGAGTATGTTATGGTTATGGTCTTCAGTAGTGTAGTGAGTTATGTTATGCTTAATGAGAAATTCTGTGATTTCATTGCTGAGGTATGCTGAATCCTGGTCTGATGTTAAAGTACTTGGGCTATGTTCTGCTACAAACTTTTGTAAAACTCTTAACACTTCACGAGTTCCTTTATTTTTCATTATATACGCAAAAGCTTTGCGAGTGTTAACATTAATGAAGATGAGGAATGGTTTATGTCCTCCTTTTCTGCTTTGAATGAGAGTGTCAAATTGGTATGCGTCAGGAGTGTTGGAGTAAATTGGTAAAAAGTAGTCGTAAGGGTTTATTTTTGTTTGATGTACAACATTTTTGTCAAAGAACTTTTTCACTTCAGCTCTGTTAGTAAATCCCCAACTTTTTGCTGCTTCATTGAACTTCTTAAATGACCTCCATGGATGTTGTTCGAATACTTCTTTCAAGCTCATTTATGTAAAGTTAAAGATTTTATTCTAGGCTCAAGCGCGTTCATTGAACGCGGTACCATGCGAATACAGTCACAAATGGTGGCATGTAATCTGCACCCGAACCCGTTGGATTTGTTGTGAAAGTGTGTGAATGATTTCCTGTGGTTCCACAGAAAATACCTGCGTTTGAATCTACTGGGTCAGTTGAAATATCATATCTATTCATTCCCTGTCTATCCGAACCTGCTGCAAGATTTGTATAACCTCTTTTTGTTATTGAATGTGAATGATTACCTGTTGTGTTTGTAGTTCCTGTATGAGTGTGCGGTGGAAGGTTTGCTTCTTTAATTTTCTTCGAACCTCCTGTTTGCTTTGAATATCTAGCACAGTATAAGAATTTATCTACAATCTGCTTCCACGTACCAAAACCCAGAACTGTTTCTGGATTTGTTGAGTTCATTGACGTATAAATAGAGCCTATAGGATATAATGTTTGAAGTATTTCAGTCTTTAATGTTTGAAGCTCTGTTTTGTCTGCTTTTTTATCTAACATTGCTGGTAGTTCATGTGTTTCAAAGTTTCTGACATGACCTTCAATGTTCATACATTTACTATTTAAGGAGTTTAGTGTATCTTTTACGCTTGTACTTGGATTCTCTAAAGGTGCACTTGAACCAAGGGTATAGTTCAATATTATGTCGTCTGCTCTAACAGTAGTGAAGGATTTATGTGTATGGTTCTTGTCGGCTTTACTGTCTAATGTAGCTTGAAGTTCATTTATATCGGAGATGTTGTGTTTATGAGATTTCAAAACTTTGTTCATTGCTTCGAGTTCATCTTTGTCAGCTTTACTTTTAATAGCATCTTCAAACGTTATTTTTGACTTAACTCTCAAAGTAAATCTTGGTTCAACTAATACACCTTTAACAGAGAAAGTAGAGGCATAAATTTCATCGTTATAACTAAATGCTTCTGGTGCTTTACCCGTGTCATACTGTGCAGTACAGCTTATGTCATAACCTTTAGCACGAATGTATTTATATCTTCTTTCATTAACATCTTCCGTCTTCACTTCATCACTTCGTGTTAAATATCCATGGTAGTCCGTTATAATCTGTTTGTCTGAAGTTATATAATGAACGTGGTTCTTGACTTTATCACTCAGAGCTAAAAGCTCATTTTTGTCTGCTTTTTCGGCTAATTTCTCATTAACATCATTCACTTCTAATTCAACTCTTCCGCCAGAACTCTTATTATCATTAATCTTTTTCATTAATTCGGTAATTACGTCATAAAGACTATATTCTGTTTTCGGTTCTGTAAATAATGAGTCAAAATTTCTTTTCATCATTACATCGCTGACATTAATGATATCACCAATTCCTTTTTCATTTATTCTCTTCATTAATTCTGCAATAATGACGAATATATAATCTGTTAATTTATTCTCTTCATCGAGGGTTATAGAATGTTTTGAAATTGAATCATTAACTCCTCTAAATAAATCAATAACTTCAGGATACACATTTTTAATGTCTCGAATAACCCGACCAGTATCCTGTTGTTCATGTTCTTCGTTCCGTCGTTACGTGGTTTTATATCTCTAACCATCATCAACGCAGCCATAACCGGAGGGTTTGTTGCTACCTGTTCGAAAATCTGACCGTTATGTATGGTATATCTAAATAATTTCTTGGTGTTTGTTAAAACATTTGAAACAAGTCTTTTAAAACCATCTACAAAATTTCCTGTTTCACCTAATGTTCTTGCAGCATTTACAAGCTCACCCATTCCCGCTTTTGACCCCAAAAACGTCCATATTGCATTTATTTCACTCTGTATAGTTGTCCATTCAGCGAAACTAACACCCGCATTCGCTAAGCTGAAAATGAAATTCAGTGGATCGAACTTAATTCCACCTTCTTTTTCAATTTCAACGAACTCACTAACATGAGATTTTAAGTATTCTTTCGTTAAAATTGTTTTCCCCGATGTTATGTCATTAACGAAACTATCACCGTCAAAAGTTAACGAATTCAATTTCGTCGTCGATGCTTTTATTTCATACACCGCTTTATTGATAGTTTTTGGCTCACCTTCTTTAGAAGCATATGAAACATTAATGAATGAATTATATGTATTCGTGAATGAATTAAAATCAATGATTTTCATTAATGACGCCTTTAATGATTCATTTACTGTCGAATCCCTTAAAGTAATTAATGAACTGTCATTTATGAAAGGTACACTGCAAACCGTCGAGTTTGGATCAAATGCTGTAGTTGGTGCAGGAATATTAATGATATAAGTCATTAAATCATTAAGTGACGTAAATAATGTTGTTGTTTTTGATTTAATTTCTTTAGCATCTGTTATATACGGTAATTTTATTTCTGTAGTTTCTGAATTAAAGATATTCGCTAAAATGTTTTGTAAACTGTTTTGAACAGCAGTATAAACCGTTGAATTCGGAACCCTTACGATTTCACCATCCTTAATAAAAGGCATTGCACATGGCGTAGTGCTTGGGTCAAATCTTTCGGGATTATAATTCAACATATATTCTAACGCTTCATGAACAGACTTATATACTGTTGTGTCGTTCTTCATGACAACTTCACCATTTACAATGAATGGCATAGTGCATGGAGTTAAAATTGGGTCAAACTTTTCATAGTCCTTCCATGTTATATATTTCTCAGTATTTCCATCAGAAATAACAATATATTTGTCAGTAAGTGTGAGAGAGTATTGACCAAAATATAAACGTTTAGCTCTGTCAGCTTCATACGCATATGCAGCTATACTCATATTTTAATGAGAATAAAATGTTGTTCTATTTGCAAAGTACATACCCGAACGAATACGGGACAGTAAAACTACAAACAAACTTAGGTCTACAGAATGAGCCACTTGCATTCAGAATGGTTGACTTTAATACTATTGCTTCATTCGTTATAACTGACGAAACAGATTTCATGGAGCTTGAAATAGATGGAAAGAAGCACGAAATAAGATTTCACAATAATGTAGAATATAAGATGGAAACATTAGCTGGAGTGTTAAATGCTCTCATAAATACTACAATAAACAAGGATAACGGAGAAAACTTAATGAATGTTAAACTTATTGCAGGAGTTTTGAAGTTCAGTTATGTGAAGGAGTTTAAGATAACACGAATGAGTCATAGAGTTCAATTGCTTCTGGGAGCATACCATATGACATTTCCTTTGAAAAGTGTTGACAAAACGATTGAGATGAAATCTGTTCCATACGTATGTTATGGCAATTGTTTGTACATTGAGTCAAAAATAGCTAATGTCACAGGTATTTCAGGAGTTAATAGTAAAGGTTCAGTAGAATATAAATCCTTCTGTTATGAAGTAAATTCAATGTTCATTCCAAACGTTCCTGTCATAGCAACTCATTTAGGTAAATGGGTTCGCATTAGTCCTCATAATTTGAAAGACATGCAATTCAGACTTGTTGACTTTCAAGGAGAGCCTGTAGAACTGAAGGCACCAGTGCGAATGACTGTTGAAGTTGACTTTTTAGAAAATATTAAATGCAACAGCTTACAAGAGAACTCAGAGCTAAAAATATAAAGTATGAATGTTATGTATTAGGTCATGAACTTTGGTTGTTGCTGTTTGATGAAACAAATGAGTTAGTTATGTCAGTCAAGAGAACAGAAAAATATTGTGTTAGTGAAAACTGCACCAAGTCAATAAGATTAGGTTTGCATTATGAAGATGAATTCAATACTGTTGAAGAAGTTTTGGACAGATATTACAAATTGCTAACTTGAAATTTTTTTTGACTAACGGCGCAAAGCGCCAAGATGGGCTCAAAGAGCCTCCTGACTGCTTTAATTTACTAAAACATATTTCAAACAAAGTTTATAGTCAGTAGATAGTTTTGTATACTCGTTCGAATATTTATACTTAAACTCAACTCCTGTAGTTCCTGGTATTTCAATGATGCGGATGTTACCTATTTTCATGAATAGTGGAGTTTGACCACAGCATTCGATTTCAGGGTCGAGATAGTCAATGACACATTGTTTCCCTGTTATTCGTGAGATAACATTTTCAAGGTCCTCCTTTGTTAGAATTATTTGGTTCTTACTTATAAGATTTGTCAAAAGCTTCTTATCGTCTTTGAGTAAAATTGTTTGGTATAACTGAAGAAGGTAATGGTCTACGTTATCTGAAGGATTTGTTTGAACATTTGTGTAAGGGTTGTCGTTGGCGTCTCTTGAAAGAATTTGGTCCAGTGGTGGATACTCTAACTTAACATCTGATGTAGCGTTAGCGTTTGAAGCTGAGTTTAAATTCACGGATTTCAGCTCTGGTTCTGGTTCTTTCAAACACTCTGAACTATAGTTCTTTATGACAATATTGTTTGTCGTTCGTGAGTCAACATTTGATGTTGGTTCAATTGGAACATTAACGGCACCAGCTAAGATGGATTTGCTTCTCATTTCATATAGAATAAAAACCTTTTATATGTATGAAATGAACAATATACTCGACAAGGGTTTGAATGTAAAGCTAACGAATGAAAATATTGTTGAATTCACTGAGACAGGTGCTGTGTATAAAGATGTAGAACTACTGAACAAAAGAGCAAAGGGAAGAAGCAGGAACATGAACAAAGGGTGGAAGCCTATAAAAATTTATGTCAATGATGGCTCAGGAGGTTCAAACATAAAGTATGCAGAAAGTTATAGAGTTTATGCTCTCAAAGGTGAAAAGCCTTCATTTAAGAACAGCTATTCTAACGCATATCCTCAAAAGCTAACGGATGGGGAAGTGGATGATATGAATGACAGCAAAAATATTAACAGAAATGGCGACAGAGATGCATGGAATTTGTTTACCATCAGTCAATTGAAGGTTAAACTTTAAAACAATGTTGGTCGTTCCCATGGAATATTTTTGACTTTAATGGTATTAGTCATGATATGAATCTCAAAGTATGAACGAGGAGAGATGAGAGACTTATATGCTTCCCAAATTTCTTCAAAAGGTAATGTTATACCTGACTGTTTCCAACTGAGTTCAATGTCATAGCGTGAGAAACCTTGAAAGATAACGAAGTCAGTTATGAGACGTTTTATGTTTAAAGCTAAAAACCTCCATGTTTGCATAAGTATTGCTACAGTTAAGTGGTAATGTCTGACTTTAGTAATGATGTTAGCTAATGGTGAGTCTGGTTTTGACACTAAACCTTTTCCGGCGAAATCATCACAAACGAGCAGAGTGTTTGAAGGATACTTTTTGAAGGGGTATTTTGAAAGTTTTGACAGAATGTAGTTTGTAAGTCGTTTCATATCGTAAACTCCTGAGTATTGTCGTAAGTGGTGTTTGTCAATAATTCTTTCCATCTCCTCAGAAGTCTTTTGCATTCCTGACTGTATGAACTCTACGATGGCATAATATTTTCTCTTACGTCGAATGTAACGTTGAAGAAATTCAATGAGTTCACTGTCTGGAACTTTAACGATAGAGGCTTGAACTTTTGACATAAATGTTTTCGCTGTTGAATCCATAGAGTCTGAAGTTGCTGATATAATGATTTGGTCATAGTAAGAGTCGTTTCCTAAACGCTCTGTTATGAGTATATGACGAATGAGGTTAAATGTCTTACCTGAACCCATCTTTCCACAATAGAAATAAACACCATTTGAACAGAACTCATAGTCCTTACTGAAAGGAAGAATGAGAGAAGAGTTAAGTTTGTCTGTAGTTTCATTCATGTCTTCATCTACATCATGTATTAAATGCTTCATTTTATCTCCATTAAAAATGCAAGTCAGAAATATTCAGAACATAGCACCGAGTCTAACTGACAAGAGTATAAAGATATACTATGAACATGTTATGATGAAACCAACCAAAATTCAAGAAAGTCAGTATACTTAAGAATATCCAAGACACTGGGTAGAGTATGTAGGAGGTGAGAAAGCTATTGAAATCAGACAGGTTCGAAGTATTCCAGCAGGAAGAACAATATTATTGAAGAACTTTAATGTTTTGAGATATAATGATGAAACAAAGAAGCAAGATAGTTTCCCTGTTGCTGTGTATGTGAACCTAGACACAGGAGATGACATGAAAGTTTTTAACACAAAGCTTCAAACGGTAGTGAGAGAACAACTGACTGCGGAAGGGCATCCATTACCTTCAGAAGTTACCATAGCATATAATTTTGAAACAAACTCAATAGATTTTAAAGTCATCTCTGCAAAGAAGTCAGGATTTACATTTAATGAAGCAGATGTATATTCGAATGAAAACTTCAAAGCTATTGCATGGTTAGATAATGACGATTGCTTTAAGAAAATCTTTAAATTCAGTGACTCAAAGATGTCAATAGATGACCTTTGTGGAATGTTACCATCGACGTTTACAGTAGAAGGTTCAGCAGGATTGCTTACAAGATTGTCAATTGGTGGTATTTGGTCTCGTGAGAACATTGTTATAAAATCCAGTATAAGTGAATTTGCTGAAGAATCTATATTATGTCTTTCAAACTATATGTATTCGCCGCCAAAGCATTATAGTATAACAAACTTTGTCAGTAAGTTTAACATAAGACTTGTCGAACCTTCTTCAATGAAAGATGTTGTGCTACCTAAAGATGGAAAGGATGGACTCATTATTGAGATGATTTTAATAGCATATTAAATGAGCTTGTTCTTGAAGGTCATTCATGATGAAATAACTGTTGTAGAAGATGTTAGCAATTGTTCAGACATTTTGAAGCGTATAGATGATATAAGAAAGAAGTTAGATAGACCGCAAAGCGGTGAGGGCGAAGCCCGTGAGAACGCTTATGTTTCATTGACTTTCTCCAGTAACGAGAACTTTTATGAGATAATATTGAAGAGAGATGATTTTAATATGGGGTAAATGGTAGCTTGGGCAGCTTTAGGCGCAATGGGAACAAAAGCATTAGCATTTGGAGCAAAAGCACTTGGAGCTTATGACGCAGTAAATAAAATGAGTGGAGGAAGGGTTTCGAAGACATTAGATGCAAATAAAGGGAAGATTGGAGGCTGGGTTGCAAATAAGTTAAGATTAAATAAAATAGGCCTTATAAATAAAGCATCCAATTTGGTTGCGACTGAGTCAGAAAATGCTTTAGGAAAGGACGATGAGTTTGCAAAACACGCAAAAGACTTTAATGACCAGATGAAAGGTGAAACAATGCATTTAAATAGATTCGATGGAACTAAAGAAAATGTTTCTTCTCCACAACTTCCACCAGCGGTTTATCCATACGGACCTTATGGAATGTATGGAAACCCTTACGAAAGACCATTTGACCCATTGACTGGTGGAAGTAACTGGTATCATTACGGCCGAAGAAGAAAGACAGTCAAGTTGGAGACAGACGTGAAGAAAGCAACTAAAAAGAAACCAAGGAAGAGAGTTATAAAGCAATGAATTCAACAGGGTGAAAAAACAGGTGAGATCTCACCACTTCACCTAAATTTATTTTTGTGCTATGTTTTCATACGTGTGAGGGTGGTGATATCATTAATTTTTATTGTATTTTTTATTTTATTTTTATATAAATGACGAAAACTATTGAGATAACAAACTACAACGGTCATGAGTTCAAGAATTTGTTCTTCGTTCCTCGTGAAAATACATTCTATCAGATACGAGGGAGAAAGGGTAAAGTTAGTTTGAGCGTTTATGACTACAAGCATAATGGAAAGTTTATACAAGCATATGATACAAACGGTAAGCGTGTTTCATTAGCTTTGTCAAAACTTACAGGTATAAACTATGACAGTGATTTTGACCTATATGAAGAAGAAAGTGAGTCAGAAGATTATGAGCTGTTATATGAAGCACAGCAATGGGAGGAGTTGCAATACTTTTGTAAGTGAGAACGTTTATTTTTACATTAGTGAAGTCGTTTGTGAAAACATTAGTGATGTGAAGTGGTTGGTGGCTTTGTAAATATTTAAGGTTAAGTTAGTGTTGTCGTTTGTGTTGTAAAATATACGTTAACGGTTTCGTAAAGTGTCAAATTCACATATAATGGGTAAGGAGGCGCAGTGCCGCCGTACCCTTGATATGTATACTAACTGTTGTGATCCAGTTCATAACATTACTACTGCTCTTCATTAAACTCAATAAAGGAATTTGCTTCCGCTCATTACCTTACTAAGTAAACATTTAATTTTTTAAACGGTTTGACATTTTTTTAATGGAGAACGACCGTGTTCGCAAGTTCTTCGAGACTGTTAGCCAGGAAGACCCTGATAAACAATGGACTGAAGATGAACTTTGGGAAGCATTCCAATGCACTCTCTTTATACCAAGGGATGAAGCAGAGATCTGGCTCTCAATGTTCCTCGCCAGAGCTAAGTACCCAATGAAGACACGTGAAATCCATGATAAATACGTGGAGTTCTGTAATGACACAAGAAGGAAAATACGAGCACGAATCTAAGTAAACAATTCAGATTCTGATTTAATTTAATTTTTTTACTTGTAGAAAAAGCATGACTGAGTTTTACTCAATTTCAAAACTAGTTGAACATCTTGAACCAATTTTAAAAGATGCTAAACAAATCGATGTTTACTTTGATAATTACATTCAAAACAAATGGGATAAGTATAATGTAAAACCATTGGCGTTCCTTGTTGATGGAAAGAATATATCTAACCTCAAGATATGGGAACTTTGCCCTGACATGGTTTTTATCACAAACGTGAGAATTCCTAAATCATCTTTTCAAAGAGAATTAATGGTATTAAAAATAAGAGTAAAGAAAGAAACAATGAGAGATTTCTCATATCATCCATACAAGATTCAAGCATTAGAAAAGAAAGATAAATTAAGAAAATTCTTGAACGATCAACTTTCAAAAGATAAAATTGAACATCTTGATCAAATAGCAAAGAAGATTGATTTTGATGACCATGACTTTGGTGATTTTGAAGAAATAGATCCGAAAGAATTGTAAAAAATAAAATTTATTTTTCTTTCCGTGGAAAAGTGACAGTTCTAATGAGTGAGAGAGTACAAAGTTTCTTAGAACAAATGATTTTGCTAAATGGACCAATATCTGCAGGTAAAGCATTGGAAGTTTATTACTCCATCTTTGCTGATGTTGACCCTTTCAGAGATCGTGAAGAAGCAATTCTTTCCATGTTCATAACGAAATGGTACGAAACAAATAGAGATAGGGAAGTTTCATACGGAATGTTTGTACGTGAATATGCAGAATATTACGCAAAAGTAAATGAAAACAGATAAAAAAATTTAAAACTACTTTAAATTTTGAAATAAATGATTTCATTATTTTTACATGGATGGACATTAATTCTACCTCTATCTAATACTTTCTTTTCTATATCAAACTTCTGATCAAACTTTTCTGATAAGAATTCCATAACATCATCTAAACCAGATTTGTCTGAAGTGAAATATATACATGGATACTTCATTACTTCTAAAGTTTCGATTGAATCTTTTAATGACCATGGATGTTCATATTGAATGTTCCATGTATTATAATAAGGTGGATCACAAATGAAGAATACATTTGGATCATCCTTATATTCATCAAATAATTCTTTTCAATGTTTTCTAACAATTGTTAAACCTTCTAAATATTTATCAATTTTTTCATTAAATAATTGTTTAAATGACAAATATAAAGTTTTCTTCATTAAAGTGTCAATATCAAAACAACGAATACTACCTGAATATAATAGTTTTGCTGATAATGTATTCCAATCTAAATATTCAGCTTTGGATAAAGTTTCACGGACAAATTCTCTTTTGTCATCTGGTATCTTTTCATTAATTTTAATGTTAATTTCATCTTTTAACTTTTGTAATATCATATTTGTTTCATGAATGTGATTTAACCTGTCAACATAATTATCGTAATCGTTTGTGATGATTTTACATTTTGGAAATAGAGTATGTAATAAATGTGAAATAAATAATGAACCACCAAACAAATCAACAAAAACTATTGTATCGTTTTTATTATCGATTTGATTCAGAATTTCTAACAGTTCTTTTCTAATTTTAGATTTATTACCAATGAACGGTAAAGGTGGTTTCGTGAATTCCATTTTTAACGGAAATAAAAAATTAAATTATTCAAAAGATAAGATCCAAAAGATAAATTTATACCAATAATATTTTACAATTTCTGTGAAATTAAAGTCATAGAATTTTTCTCTTAAACTAACGATAAAACTCATTTCACTTAAAAATAAAAAACCGTTTTCAAACAAAAAATAAGATGTCTGGACGAATGATTGGTATGGCATTTACTGAACCAGATGGTTCTGTAACATACGTCAAGTTCAAAGAAACTGGTGGAATTGCTTACATCATCCACAATTACGATACTTTGGGAGAACTTGGACCAAGACAATATCCAAAGAGAGCGAAAAGAAGAACTAAAGAAGAAATGGCTGCAGTACTTGAACAATATACTAAAAAATAAACAATTAATTTATACATTTAAGCTACGCGATACCATGCAAATACTGTCATGTAAGGTGGCATGTAATCTTTACTTTGTCCCGTTGTTTGTGTATATCCCGTAATTCTATGATTGTGTGTTCCGGCATATCCGATTCCAATTCCAGAATTCCAATCTTGTGGATCACCTGAAAGCTCATATCTTGACATTACTTGAACGTTTGGTGAATCTCTATTTGAAACAGAATTCCATCCTCTATTATATGCTGAGTGATTATTCCAACCTGAATCTTGAGTATTGAAATCAATATAATGACTGTGTGCAGGCAGGTTTTCACCAGTAATAGTTTTTGAACCACCAGTCTGTTTTGAAGAATTTGCACAATAAAGGAATTTATCAGTAATTTGTTGCCATGTTCCAAAACCAAAAACTTCTGAAGGATTTGTTGAATTCATTGATGTGTAAATTGAACCAATGGGATATAAAGTTTCAAGAATTTGTCTCTTCATTTCTTGAAGTTCTGTTTTATCAGCTTTTGTATTTAATCCATCATGAATATTGAATTTATTATATAATATTGAATTTGGGCGAGTATTTAAAACTGGTCTTGTTATCAATATTAACGTATTATTTTTGAAAATAGCTTTTCGTACATCTTGAAATTTTGTGATTTCAGACCAAGTTCTACCATCATTACTGATATTTACTAAATCACCACATCCTAAAGCGATGAAATACCCATCAATATAAAACAAATTGCAAAATCTATAATTTCGAGTAAGTTTTGGAGTGAATGAATAAACTAATTCCCAATTTGATAAATCCTGTGATAAATAAATATGTCTGTTATAACTCACAGGATATGAATAGACCATTCCACCTGAAACGAGAACATAAACATTTGATCCATAACATAAAGCTTCAATGTCTCCATCACCTTGTGGTATTGAAGATGATCTATAAATTTTATCATTTTGTAGGATAAAATACATACAGTTAGTGTAATACCACTTACTTGTATAATCGATTTCCAAATCTGATAAAACACTAACTGAGGAATAATTTAAACCATCTTCACTAATGAAAATTTGATTATATTCATAAATTAGTATCCATTTATTATTAACAAATCGGATGGGGTTATTGGGATATTTAAATGCAACATCTGGGTTTAACATATATTTGAACCATTTGATACAATCGAAGGAATAACATGGACAGAAATCATCTCTAACTGTTGTCATTCCTATAAATTTACCGTTATTATGTTCAACATATAAAATTCTTGGATTGTTGATTAGCTCTTGAGTGTATGGATCCAAAACAGATGGAGTAAATGATTCATATTTTTTAAAATCATTTGTTTTTAAATAATAAAGTACTCCTGCTGTATATAATAAATATGTAGTCACTCCATCATAACATATCCCTTCAAAAGAATCTATATCAAAGGTTTTATCCGATGACTTCATGAAATTTAAAAATGAATGGTTAAAATAGACCTCAGACTGTTTTATTTCTTCTTTTACAAATGATATATCAGCTTTCTCCATTAAAACACCATCAATGAATGATATCTCACTTTTAACATATGTTTTATCTGCTTTCTTATTAAGTTCTTCTTTGACATTAAGTGTTTTATTTTCATCATTTAGATCTGAAATTACCAAGAAGTCTTTAACAATTAAACCATCAACTGCTTCAGGAACTTTGACTCGTTCTTGATACATAGGAATTTCACCTGTATTAGGAACAAGTTCCTGTTCATGTATTCCCTTAATTTTATTAAAACCAACTTCATCAAATTGTTGATGTGTATGTTCGACATCAGCTTTATTCTTTAATTTTTCATCAAAATCAAGATTGTTTTTCATGAATTTATTCTCAACATATTGACCTAATTCTGTTATAGAATTATTTGTTTCTGTTTTTGCATCACGAAATGCAGCTTGAATTCTTTCATCTGCTTCATTCAGAGTTGTTAAATCTATTTTTTCTTTAATTCTTGGTCAACATAACCTTTATGAGCTTTAAGATTTATTACTTCTGCATTTCCATTAATTCTTCGTGTTAAATTATCATAATTACTTTTAACAGTTGCATTTGTTTGAATGATTTTTGCATTTAAGTCATCATAATTATTTTTAACAGTTGTGTTTGTAGTATCAATTTCTTCCATGACATTTTTACCATTAACTTGAAGACCATCAGGAAAGTTAGGAGGTAATGTTTCAATAATATCTTCACCATTAATTTCATATGTAACTTTTTTACCTTTAATGTTTTGAATTGTTAAATCATCAATTTTGATACCAGATGGAAAATATACTGGTTTAGCATCTTCAGGTCTATTTTGGTCAGCATAGTTTCCATTAATTTCTTTCACGAATGAAATTCTTTTAGTTAATAATTCATCAACATAAACTTTATCAAATTTGTTTGACATTGCGTTTAAATAAAAATAAAAAGATTTAAATTTTTTCTAAAACTTTTGATAATGTTTGATTCAGTTCATCTACTTTTGTTTCTAATGTTTTAATTCTTTCTTTCATTGATTTGATTTGACTTTCTAAATCTTTACCTTTTAATTTGATACCTGAAGGAAATGATACAGGAGCTGGTACTTTATTTTTATAATAACCAACAATTTCTCTGACATAAGAGATTCTTTGAGTTAAGAATTCATAAACATATAAACAAGGAATTTTAGTAGTTCTTTTTATCTTTAATTCAACCCATGTTTTATCTGCTTTCTTTTCTAATTCATTATCAACGTAAGTTTTATCAGCTTTGAGGTCAATATTGTTTAAAAAGTCTTGAATAAACTTTTCATTTAAATCAAATTTACCTATCTTTATCATTTTTGGAAATGCATTTAATGCATAAAACCTTTGATCTTCAAATGGAATTTTTGATATATCATCTGTTATACCGTTTATTTTAGACTTCATGAATAAAATCTCTCTTATGTTAGAAATGACTGCACCATTTTTAGGAACAAATTCAAATTTACCATTCTTCAAAACTATTTCTAAATCACCATATTTTAACTTATATGTTTCATCAGCTTGTCTGGCATTGTTTGCATGATTAGCAAAATCAACCCACAACTTGTTGTTCACTATTTTGATTTGGTTCTTGTTCTTCAATAGGTTGTCCAGCATTATTTTCATTCGGATTAAAATCTTGTTTAATATGTTCATCTGAAATTTTATTTAGTTGAAATGTCCAAAGAAAATCTGAATCTAGTTGAATATCATCACCATAAATATCAACTATCCTAAATTCTAAATCACATATTTCATTTGCTGGAGCAGTAAATGATGCACCATTTAATACAACAAGTTGGTTTAAACCATTTGAATTAAAATTGATGCTTCCAATATTTTGAACAGAAGGATAATTTCTTTTCTTCTTTTGTTGTTCATCATCTACTTTAATTAATTGATTTGCGAATCTCATTGGTGTATTTATTTGATTACATTTTATTAATACAAACCTTGGACCAATCACAGATGGAGGAACTTGTGATTTTGTTGCAGGTAAATTAATGATACCTAATAAATGTTTAACTCTATTTGAACAATCAGTAATTGGTTTTGGAAATTTATAAAATCCAAGGTCATCAACATCAAATTGATTTCCTTCTAAAACTTCATCACCAAGTTTCACTTTTGTATAATATTCAATTTTTCCTATAGGATCTGTTGGAGTTTGAGTTGCTTGATCTTGTTTTGTATTTTGTTCTGGATTTTCACTATTTTCTTCAACATCTGATAATTCTCTAGTTACAACATTAATTTCTTCCTCTTCTTCATATTCCTCTTCTTCATTAGTTTGGAGTGTTTCTTCAGTTTTTGTTGAATCTTGAGTTTGTGTTGTTTCTTCAGTTTGTGTTGTTTCTTCAACTAAAACACCATGTTCAGTTTGTGTTGCTACTTGAGGTAAATCATTTGTAACAATAACTTCTTCATTTACTTTAAAATTAATTCTCATTTTACTTGTACCTACTTGATATTCGATCCAGTCATCATCTGTAAGAAGTTTTGGAACCCAATAACCTGTAGGACCTTGCAAATTAACTTCGAAAATACCTGATGCATCAAGGTTTAAAACACATTTATTATGTGAAATTATATTTATTGTAGTCATATTTTTTATCTATTATTAAAAATGCCTAAAAAGATTTTACCAGTCATTAATAAGTACTGTTTTCGTTTACCAGATGAATTTGTTCATGGAATTAATCAAAAATTTAGAGTTCTTCAATTTCGTTCTCGTGCAAGTTTTACGCAAAAACTTGGATATTTGATGATGGTTGATGATAATCATGAATATTGCATTGGAATGTCTGATGAATCATTTGTCCCTGTTGAGTTTAGAGTTCAAGATGTTTGTGGGGATTTTTATTGGACAACTGGATATTGTCTTTTCACATATCAGAATCCATTTCTTGAGGAAACGTATGCCTATAAATGTGACTTTCCAAAACAAGAAGCGACACCATTTGGTGAACAAAAAGCACATGCTTATTTGAAAGAAAATGGAAAGTATGATCTTATTGTTTTCTCACGAAGTTATCAAAAAATTGAAGAAGCATTACCATTTATAATTGTAATTGATAAGGATAAGGATGGTGATATAGTAATTGAACGAGATCCAAAGGTTTTTGGAGCTGATATGACCTTTAAAAAATATTTAAAAACTTAAACGAAATCTGGCTTCATACATATACATTAGGAATATCCCCTAAGGGTTTATTAGATTATGGTTTTATTCATGCTGAGCATTCAAAGTTGGACGAATACACAAAAACTAACATTTTTGACCCGAATCTTTTACATATAACATACAGATTTATCGGAGATGATAAAGATTATTATTTGTTGCGTTTTCACCAAAAAGAAAGTTATAATAATTACTTATTTCCACAGCCCCAAAAAACAGATCAAACCAAATTTGAACAATTTTATCTTCTTTTAGAATTAGAATGGGATGATATAACATGGGTTTCCGATTCAAATCCAATCCCAACATTTTATGAACTTTTGCAATATTGGCTTGAAAACCTTGGTGATACACATTTTGTTGATCCATCACTTGAAGAATTAAGTAAATCGTCGCTTGAATTCAGTCAATTAGTTGATGATGTATCAAAGAGTTATATAAGTGAGAACTCACAACAAAATAATCAAAACCCAAACGTTGAAGAAGAAGAAATAAATGATGAGGTAACTGATTTCGATAATCTCATTTCAAGTCCTATTAAACCAAATAAACCCAAAATAGAAATACCAAAAGAGGATGAAGAAAAGAAAGCAGAAGAAGATGAAAATGGAGGAGGAAACGTTACTGAAATGTCGTTTGAGGAATTTAATGGGTCAGATGATGAATGAAACAAATATTTTTATTTCTGTAAAAATGCAAAAAAGTATTTTCCGATTGTCAATCAATTAAGAATCAGATTACCACCTGAATTCATTTCGGCGAAATATAAACAAATAAAAGTGATAGATGTGAAATTTCTAAAAGAAACTGAACGTTTTGGAAAGAATAAAGAAACAGGTGTTTTAGAAGAGAATTCAAAATATACAAAACCATCTGAAGAAATTCAATTATTTTCAAATATTCCAGAAAGTAAAAACAAAAATTTTGTATGCTTAGCAAATATGGATTTCAATATGCAAGATACTCTTGTCTTTCCAATTAAGCAACAAATGGAATTCTTGGAATTCAAGTTTAAAACTGTTGCTGGAAAAAACTTAAACAAAGAAATGTTATTACAAGAACCTGTTAATGAAATTACCTATCAGTATATTGATCCAGAAACAAAAGAAATGAAAAGTGGAAAAAGAATTGAAGAAACTGGTGAAATTCGTTTATTTGATGAGAAAAATTATATCCTTACACTTGAAACAGATAAAGATTATATTATCAAAAATATTACTGTTTTTCCTGATCTCAATCATCAAACTATAAAACATTCATTTGAAAAGCCAAATGAATTGAACTTTCCAGGAAATAGTTGGAACTTCATCATGTATCATTTATTAAAAGAATATGATGTTGACGAAGAAGATAATCAAGAAACATTTCACAAATATACCTTCAAATTTACAAAAGGAACTATTAAAAGACCTGTGATCAAAAATAAATATAAATTCTTTATTATTTTACAATTAGAATATTCGAATTAAATAAAACGGGAACAGGACAAATTTGCCGCACGGCACTTTTTTTTAAAAAAAATTAATGGAGCGGAGCGATACTCTGCTGTAGGAGCCCCAAGGCTCCCAATCATTACGAAAGGGAGCCTCAGGGCTCCTGAGAATCCATCAGCAGAGGCCTTTTCATTTGGCCTCTGCTGATCAAAGATTCGGCGAAGCCATTCTTCGTCTCAGGATCCCCAAGGCTCCCAATCATTACGAAAGGGAGCCTCAGGGCTCCTGAGAAACCTCTTTGAGAAGGTTTTCTTAAAGAAAACCTTCTCAAAGATGATTGTCAGCATTCACTCAAAATCTACCAAGAGTTTCAAAGTTTCAAATCTATCTGAAATGAAGCTTTGAATCTCTTGTATATCTAATTGTAGAGGTACCTTTTCAAAATGTCTTCTATTGATTAAATTTAATCAGTAAAAGTCATTTTGAAAAGGTACATCTCTATAATTGCTATTGAGCATTCACTCTAGGAACCTTGGAGCTCTTGTGTAGTGCATGAAAACTCCAAGATTCTAGCATAAAACATATATCATAGACATAATTTCTTCAAATATAATTTAAGGTTATTTTTAAAAATAGAAAAGCGTAATTTAAGGTTATTGAAAGGGTGACACTTGGCAAATTTGTCCCGCACTCAAATAAAACTTTTCTAATGAAATCTTATATTTATCAACAATTAAATTATAGATGTCATTATAAGTTAAATTCAAATCATTAATGACACCATTTTTATTAACTTTAATTGCTGAAATTTCTTTTATTGGATTTATTTTTGTTGCTAATGCTCCACAGCAATTGACTTCTTCGTCTAAGAAATACTGAATCTTAATTTTATCATCAAAAACCCCGCACAAAACACTTATTACATGAATTAAACTATCATGTGGTAAAATTATTTTTCCTGAGTCATCTATTAAATTCATTATATTACCACTATTGCTAATTAACATGTCACGATAAATATGCATAAGTTCTGTTGTAATTTTATCATCAGTAGCAACTGGTTCATAAACTTTCGGTGGTCCATAAACAACTTGAATTCCATCATCGGCTGGTGTCGCTTCTGTTGGAAGTTCTCTTGTACTAAATTCTGAAGGTTTTGGTTTCGGTTCTGTATCACATGAATTTACATTAACTTGAACATTCTGTAATATTTTACTTTTGTCCTGGTTAACACTGTATCCAAATGTTACTTCTCCTTTTGCTGAACTTGTAATTGGTCTATGCCTCATGTTTTTAATCATTGATAAAAAAATTAATTAATTAAATCAATTCATTATAATCTAATGTGCGTTGGGGTCTGTTGAATGCACCGCGCATTGTATTCTGTAAATCTTGATCCATGTTATTATTCACCAAAGTATTTAGATCATCTGGATTTATTGTAACTGTGTTAGTTGGTTGAGGTGGTTGAGCTGTTCGTCTATTTTGATTTGGTTTTCCAAAATGTCTCGTTAATGGTGTTCGTAGACTATTTTGATTTGTTGTGGAATTTACTGTAGCTGTGGAATTCGCTGGAGCAAGTGTTGCAGTATTTGCTGGTGGTTGTATTCCGTAAGCACCTGGTTCAATTATGTGCTGTGTTCCATCTGGTGCAATTAGTGTATATCCACCCATTTTAGGTCCTATATAAAATTGATTTGCTGGTCCTTTACCTTCTGGTCTTGCTATATAAACTGTTTGATTTCCATTTTCATCATCAGCAACTCTAAAGTAAGTCTTCTTGAAATCAACAAAAGAGTTTCCTTCTTCTGCTCTATCAACAGGTTCTGGAATAACTGTATGATATGCTTTTCTTTCAGCATAGTCACCGTCAGTTAATCTCCATCCATTAATTACTTTCAAATTACCTTTGGAGTCAGTGATGAAAACTTCCTTAATTCCATCTGGAAGTCCGTTTGGTCCTGTAATATCTAATTCGTGAGCTTGCCAGTTCTTACCATGTTTCTTTGCATATGCCTGCGCTTCTGGTAATGTAATTGCATCATCAACGCGGGCAAATCCTTTATGAAGACCGGCTGCAATATTAACTAAATCATCAGCACCTTTTTCAAACCTGAAATATCTATCATATGTTTGTTGTTGGGGATATGCTTTCGAACTTTCTGGAACTTCACCTGGATTCATTTCTGTTTTCTCAAATGGTTCGAAGTTCATTCTAAAATTCGCGTGTTGTGGTCTTGCTCTTTGTTGCTGAATGATATTCAACGGTTGTGTAGCTTGATCCAATGTCAATGTCATTTTGTCTGTAATAAAAAAATAAAATATATTAATTAACGAACTTGATATTTCCTTTAACCAAATCGACGATTAATTTCCCATGTTCACCTAATTGTTGATATTGATAATATAATTTATTTATTGTCATAGGTAAATTCACTTGATATAACATTACGTTTAATTGTTGCCTACTGAATCCTGAAAATATAAATAATGTACTAATGTTTGATTTGATATTTGTACTTAATGCTTTAAAGAATTGGACAGCTAAGAAGAAACTACATTGAATATGTCGGCATTGTGTCAACCATTGATTAAATTTTGAATTAGGTTTTTCAATTAATGAGGACTTAACCACGTCATCAAGAAAAATCAATGTATGTAAGAAATCCTTTGAATAATCTGAAATATTTAATTTCTCAAACATTTCCATCATTTGATTGTCCACAATTTTATCTTCTAAATTCTCTGCTTTCACTTTGTTATACAATTCTTTAAATAACAGTATTTCATGTATGTATTCTTCTGCTTCATCATGCGATTTATATACAATTGGTACATTTATTAATGTCTTTAGGGATTCAAATGTTGAATCAGAAGGAGTTCCAGATCTATTTATATAAATCAACATATGACAATATGGGTCATTTTGTGAAATTTTAATGATTTCCTTAATTATTGCAAGTGTTTTTCCTTTGAATTGTTTTCCTATTGCAGCTGTGATTGCATTATAATATGAATCAGTTCTGGGTATCTTTTGCAAAACTTCTCTTTCCAAAGAACCTTTATTTAAATTCAGGTTATTCATTATACATCTATCAATGAAACAATCATATTGTTCTTCTGGAGATATAATATTGGTTTCTCATAAAATTCTTCTTCTTCATACATGTTTAAAATTTTTATTCTTATTAAAAAATGAGAAAGTTTTGGCATATTCGACGAATTCATACAGTTTCAAATCAACTTCAACCTATAATCCGTAGGCAATATAAAAAACTCCCTGATCCAATTTACCAACCTCCTCCTGATAACTCTATATTAGAAACTGAAGAAAAACCTAAGGAAATTTAATAAAATATATTTTTATTCCTATAACAACTACAAGAATAATATAATAAAATTAAGTTTTGAGGAACTTATTTATCCATTTCTTCTTTCTTTTCTTCTTCAATGAGTGAGAGACGTGCACGTTCATACTTCCTTCTTGTTGCTTCACGGAGTTTCTCTTGTCTGATCCAGATGGATTTGTTCTGGATGTCATTTGCTGGAAGAATGATTTTCCAATTGTTTGTCTTGAATACTTCATAGAAGAGGGAGTGATGAATTGTGTAGAGGTTATCAAATGATGATAAGATTCCCTTATGAACTGAGTATTCATCATCATCAATGTAAAAGACTTCTTGTCCAAATGTCAGATCACTTGGATCTTCAAACCTTTTGATCTCGTATTCCTGTAATGTCTTTTGACATTGTTTGTTGCAATCTTCGTCATATTCACGAATTTTGTTGTAAGCAACTACGAGCTGATCTGTCCAGAGCCAATCTGATTTGAGTTCGATGAGGAGTTCACGTTTGGTGAATTGGATAATGGCACCAGGAAAGACTCTGTAAAGATCTTGCATCCATGAAGTTGTGTTGTACTTGTACCAGGAAATAATTGAAATAATGAATTCTTCTGTGAGCGCTTCAATGGAATTTTCTGGTTTGAACTTTGTGATTGTTTCATGAGTTTCTATTTCAATGACACATGTCAGAATTCACAAAGTATTGAAATTTATTAATTGATAAACATTAATGTTTCATTATCCCTCTGTTATCCAAACAGATTTGGTAACAGATATTAATCCATGCAACCCATCAACCTTATTATTTCAATGCCATAATGCTGTTATCTATTCTGCTCTTATCATAAAAATTATTGTTTGCCTTCCCTTCTTTTACTTGATGATTAAATACTTTCGGCAAAACAGACGTCTCGAGAATGAGTTAATGAAAATGCAAATAAGCTTCTGTGCTACAGCACTTTTCTTTTTAACTTTTTATTATTTCCTGGAATTTATACCAACTTATGCATCTTCTTTCCTTCACACAACACAAGTTTAGAAACTAAAACAAATCCCACTTGATTTTTGGTTTTTATGCCAAATTTCATATCTTAGAGTTGTTGTCCTTGTAATTTCTTTTTTTGGCTTTCCAAAAATCAAGCTAATGATTAGATTAACATTGGGAATGAAATATATTTGTATACTGATAATCATTATTTCAACAATTTGCACCTTAATCCCGACAAAAAAGTTACCGAAAACTATAATTAACATATACACAGCAATATATTTATATGATGATTATGTTTTCTACTTTTATCATAGCTTTGTAATCATAATTCTATCAATGGCTTTTATTTTCTCAGGAAATACATATAATATATTCCATCAATCAAAAAAAAACATGATGATAGTTGTATTTCTTTTTTCACTCAGTTTACTTCTTGATCTTTTAGGAGACGAGTATGGGCATTCAAATATCTTTATTGCAAATCTTTATTATCTCAATAGAAAAAGATTCATGTATATTGACCAAATTTTCAAGTTCTTTTACTACGATGTCCCGGCCTTGACGTTATTACTTCTTGTTATTTATGTTGCAGCACCGGAAAAAATAGACAAACCGGAAGATAATACTGGGGATTCAAGAAAAACAAGCCTAGAATGGCTGATAGTAGTAGGATATGATGGGTTTTGTGACTTTTTTTGTAAACGTAAGAATTCATACAATATCGAGCGATTTTGTATCATTTTTTAACATATGAAGTAAAAAATGTATGATTCTTACGGTTTTTATTCTTACGTTTTTGAATAAATCAAGATTTAAAAAATTTTCAAAATTGTAAGACATTTACACTCAGCCCAAACATAATGAAATAAAAAATAAAAATATATTTATTTATAAATCATTAAAAAATTAACATTAATTTTAAAATAATTTTTTTATCTTTTATAAAAGAAGCTATATATAGATGATGTCAGATATTCCGCGATTAATTAAATATTGTTTAAATCCTGAATGGAATCAATGGAGTCATAATCAAAGACCTCATAAACGAGTAAAAGAAATTAGAAATAAACTTCTTACGAAAAATTAAAACTTAGTTATGTTTATTATTTTATTTTTTTATTTTGTATGAAATGAGCGTCAAAACTAACAACGTTAAAAAATTAGGATTCACAAACGAGGAAATAAAGGATATATTAGAGGAGGTGGGTTATGAAGTTGATAAATATTATTTAAGAAATTGTAAAAAATTCGCGGAGTTGTTAAATGATTTAGATTATGATGGAAAAATGAATAAAGATGATGTTATAAATTTTTTATCCCACATCTGAAGAAGAAAAACCTAAAGAACCTGATGTTTTCCCTGAATATTATGAAGAACGGATTAAAGATGATGATGAATACAATGAAATTGAAAGACTGAAAAAAATAAGAGATGAAATAGATGAAAAAATTAAGGAATTAAGAGAAGTTGAAAAATATAATGAAAATGAAGTAGAGGGTTTAATGAATATCCCAGCTTCAGAATCAGAAGTTCAGAAATCTCATGAAGAAAGATATAAAAATTATGTCTCAGAATCAACACAAAATTTATTAGATGGTGAAATAGACGAAACACTTTCAGAAGAAGGTACTAAATTTATTCGTAAACATAAGTTACAATTTATTGATAATGAAGAATACCCCTGTATCCTACTTTCACCACCTTTAGATTCCGAAAAATTCAAAAAAGCTCTTAAAAACGTGACATATGCAACTAATACGATTAAGAAAGAAGATCATGATATTTACACAAATTATTATTTAAATAAATGCACAGGTGTTGATAAAGTTTTTGATTTATTAGATAAAATATCAAAAGAAACCATTGGAACCTATAAAATTTTGTGTGATTGTGGTTTCATTATTGAAGATACCAATAATGTTTCATATGAAAGAACAGCACCGAAGGAAGACGAAGTGGAAAGGTCTATACCATTCGTTATTAAGAATATAAAAGATATGAAAACGTATAAGCATTATATTTATTCATTTATTTCAGAAAAAATGGAAGCAACCCATAAAACATCTTCTCATCATTTTATAGCTATTCATACATTCCTTTTCAAAGTTGTGAAATTAAATAAGACAGGAATTAGATTTAATGTATCAGGGTACGCATTCTTGAGTAAATTAAAATGTATTCGTCACGTCGCAGATGATAAAAATTTATGTGTTCTTAATTCATTTTATGGGCTTTAAAAAATAAACTTTATTTTTATTTATTTTTTAATTTTTTATTCTTACATAAATGAACAAAAACGGAACAGCTAAAATGAATGATAATCAAATTAGAGCAGAAGGTAGAAGGTTATTTAAACGCTTCTATAACATTCCTGATGGTGCTAATCCTAAAACTCGTAGAAGCTATTTAAATGAAGCAATAGATGCATATGAAGAGTTTGACATTTCATCAGAAAGTGAGAGATTAGCGAGAATGTTAAATGTTAATATTGATTTCTATTATTGTGATCCTCAACCAGAAGACGTGGACATAAATAAGGTAGACTTTCCATTAGTGGAATCAATAATGATAGATCCAGAATTTGAAACAGTAAATATTTTATTAACACAGAGTCCATGTGGAAAACTTCACGCTGACAGAATAACAGACGTTGAAGCACTCACCGGCTATAAAGTTTGTCCATATTGTAAAGAAGAAGTTTATTCTATCCGTGATGATCCAGAAAGGAAAAACCAAAGAAGATTTTTAAAGCATTGTGAGAAATGTAAAGAAAATAATGGAAGATTAATTCAAGACGTTCAGTTGCAAAAGACACAGCAACCATATTCACCACATATTACGAAACAGAAGATATATCAGTGGTTATTAGCTCACAATTTGCAGAAATATTATAAACCGACAAGATATTATATTACTTTTGACTTCGAAACATTAGAGACTAAAGAAGAATTACAACTTTCTGAGTGTGCAACTTTGAACGCTTACTTAAAACCATTCATGGTATCATCAACGGTTAAATTAAACGATAAAACATATACGAGGAATTTTTGCTTAACTTCGAGTGATTCTTTTATTTCTGATTGGATTGAGTTTTTATTTTCAACCTGTTCATTAGTTGTTGAATCAAATATGAGTCAATACAATGAATTATTGAAGTCGCAAACGGCGGGGACTTTGTCCCATACATTAAATGAAAAACAGAAGGAAGCATTTAAAGAACTTCTAGATGAGGAATTCAATAAAGTGAATATCATAGGTTTTAATTCGGGAAAGTTTGATTTAAATTTAATTCTTCGTGATTTAAACACTGCAAAATGGAAAATAAAATCAATGTTGGGTTCATCTTCACAATTTAAGCAAATCATTGTAAAGAAAACAAACGTTCCATATGAATTGAGATTTATTGACATCAGAAATTATATAGCGGGTGGGACATTAGACCAATTCACTCAAGATTTCGGAAACAATAAATCACTTGTTAAATCCGTTTTCCCTTATCAATTCATCACATGGGAGAATTACGAAGAAGAATTATATAAAGAGGAACCATTCACGAAAGATTCATTTTATTCAGCATTAACCCAAGAAACTATATCAGATAGTGATTATCAAATATATCTCAATGATGCTAAAAATTTTAAGAATAGATTAGAATATTTTATTCATTATTGCAATAAAGATGTTGAAATTATGATTGACCCAATCGATAAAATTATTGAAGAAACATTTGTTTATAAAATTGACACGCTTCATAATCTTTCTTTATCATCGAATGCTTCAATGATTCGTTACGCTTTAGCATATAAAGACTTTAATCCTAATGAAAAATATCCTGAGGAAGAGATAGAATCAAGTTTTGAATTAACGAAAAAGTATTGGAAATATAAAATTGAATCATATAAGAAACAAGATGAAAAAGCAGAAAGGGATACTAAAAATAATGTTTCAATGATGATTTTCAATACTATCACGATTTAATCCTTTCATCTAAATGCAAAATGTGTGGTAAAGCGTTTACATATGCAAATAAACCAACATTGGATAGAATCGATAATGAAAAACCACATACCAAAGAAAATTGTCAGTTAATGTGTTGTTATTGCAATGTCGTAAAATCAAATAAAGATGAAGATGTTCAACGTTTAAGAATCAATTTAAGAAATTATGCATTAAAAAATAATTTACCAATGACTTTAGATTCAGTTGAAGCTTATCACATTCTCCGTAATGGAATTACTGGTGGTTTATCAAATGTTCAACATAGAGTAAATCTTAAAGGAATCACGCACATTAATAAACTTGCATATAATCCAGAAACTAAAACTGTATCAAATGAGGACACCACCAACATTATGACTCATTTCGTTGGTGTTGATTTTAATTCATTATATCCTTCATCATTTTCATCTAATCCTCATGATTTCATTCAATATACTGACCATAAAATGTATATGCCGGGAAGATTGAATGGTGTTATCATTTGTGATACAGCAACAAAGAAAGCAAAAGCACTGGGAATAATTAAGAAGAAAAATACTTTATTCGTGGCTGAAGTAAAGGGTCACATTGATGAAAAATACATTAATGATTACATAAACTTTTTACCGATAATAAGAAACTTAGATATTATCACAGATGAAAAAACAATTGGCAGTTTTATGTATAATTACATGAAATCAAACAATCTACCAGTTGACCAGAAACAGAGGAAATTAACTCAGTTAGCATCAACACACAACCAATATCAACCATTTTCTTCTTATTATCTTTGGTATCTAATAGACAGATTTCATTTTATCATTGATGACATTCAATCAATTTTAACATTTACTAAAAACACTTGTTTTAATGAATTTGCGAACAAATTTATGAACGAAAGACAAAAGGCTGAATTAGAAGGAAATAAAGGAAAAAGTTTATTTTGCAAGATTTCACTTAATGGATCATATGGTTACGATGCAATGAATACACAAAATTACACAAAGACTAAAATAATAAATGCACAGAAGGCACGCGTTGCATGTATGTCAAATAAGTTTAAAAACATAAGAGAAATAGGAGAGGATACATATCAAGTGATGCTTAAAGATAGATTTTATAGATGTGATACATGTTTACAAGAGGCATTCTTCACTTTAGATAATGCTAAATACTGGTATTTGGTTTTCATTTATGATTTTATGTATAAATGCATGAATGTTAATCGTTTTCATTTCATTGAAGGTGATACTGATTCATCTTATTGGGCAATCGCTGGCGACCCAAATCTTCCTAACACTCAAACATTTCAAGCAATTGTTACCGATAAACAATTTTATGATAAAAACATTTTCAAATTCGCACCATTTGATTTCTTCTGTTTTGATGAGAAATTTAAACCTAAATTAAAGAATAAAGCTGAAGAAAAAGCACATGAGAAGAAGTTATTGGGTTTAGCAATTGAGAAACAAGGTGATAACATGGTTGCTTTATGCCCCAAGTGTTATACATCATTCAACAGTTCAATTGATGGAAGTGATTTTAAAAAGATTGCACAAAAAATGAAAGGTGTTAGTTTACGACAAAATAAACAATTAACACCTAAAAATTATTTGGATATAATAAATGATAAAGTGATATTTGATGGTCAGAATATTAATTTACAACTTAAAAACGGGTCAATGACTCGCTTAACAATCGGTAAGACTGCATTAACAGGAGCACACACTAAGGCTGTATGTTGTGAAAATGGATGTTGTATGCCATTTATTTAATACATTTTAAAATTTTATTTTTAATAAAATGCCACAGAAGAGACAAAAGGAACCGTTAATGATGGTTTTGGTACTATGATTCAAAGAGGCGGGCACACTTAAAACACTTATTTTATTTTTATATAAATGAATAGCGCAGATTTAAAAAATTTAATTTATGATTTAGTACTTAATCAAAATTTTCTTACTTATTATGAATTAAAATCATATCTCCAAAAATATAATAAAAATATAACGGGTGATGATGTGGATTATTATTATCCATATTATAAAAATGAAATTTTGAAATATCATGATAAAATAATTTCTAAAATTAAAGACAAAATTAAAAATAATGAATATACAAAGGAAAAAACTAAATCACAACTTAAACAATTGAAAGATTTCAAAAATAAAGTATTAACAGAAGAAGATATTGATGAATTATATAAATTATATAATCATGAGCCGCAAAAAACAAAGGAACAAAAACAAAAGGTGCAAAACGCCCAGGTCCTTCAGACCATAAATGAAGCACAAGCTTTAATTTATGATTCATTAGTTAAACCATATTCAGCCCGACTTTTAAATGAAGATCAACTTTTGGAATTCATCCTTCAACATAAACTCGAAGCGGGAAAGTATATCAAACCTTTATATACAGCATATTTAAAACAAATAAATAGAATACATCCAGAATTAATGAAGGGGGAATGAAATCCAAAATCAAAGCAGATAAAATTAAACCACTTGCAACACCAAAACCTCCAACGACAGTACCGCCTCCTCCTTCAGTTAATCCTTCATCATTCACTTTATTATATCCATTTCAAACATTAAAGAAGCAAAAAGATTTTAAAAAGGATTTCAAGATATTAAATAAACCAATTGACCCGAAAATTCAACCGTTAAAGGAAAAATTTAGTCGCCCTTCATTTGCTCCATATCCATATTCATACGAAATCGATCATCTGGAATATTCAAAAGGAAACGTTACTTATTTATTTGCCATTAACATTAACACTAGATATTTATATTGCATTCCAGTGAAAGGGAAAACAGAACAGGAAACAAGAAGAGCTATACAATACTTACTAGATCATGAAAGAGTAGATAATATCAGGGGTGATGGTGATAAGGATTTCAGGCAGCTATGGCTCATTATTTCCCACAAATTAATTTTTTCTTTTCATCCTCTCCATATACGTTTCATAATAAAATAGTTGATGCGGTAATGAGAACTCTTAGAGATGTGTTAGGGGTTAACGGTCAGATATACTGGGATGGAAATCATGACTCCATCATACAACAGTTAGTATATTATTACAATAATACATGGCATAGAACTATAAACATGAAACCAGTGGAAATGAAAAATGATATTTCAAAAGAATGGGAATATATTAGAAAGCAAATGGAAAGGTTGAATGATGTTAAACGTGAACAAATTAATTCGGGGCTCATGAATTTTAAACAAGGGATAAAGTTTTGATTCATCTCGATTATGGAAAAACTGATAAATCAATGACAAAAAGAAGACGAAGATTTGACACAATAGCTGAATTTGTTAGATATATTAACGGCAATGCATTAGTTGAAGTTGACAATAAATTAATAGAAATTCCGATTTATTTTATTACTCCATTATATTTAAATAATATTTAATTTTTTATTTCGTAAGAAATGAGTGACAACAAAGCAGCCAAGAGTCCAGACAATGAATATAAAAAGAAACTAAACAGAATTAAATCAAAAATATGCTATTGCAAAAAGAAGCCGCAATGCGGTGGGGCTGAAAACGATAAAGAGAGGAAAGAAATAATCGAAAAATTAGAAACTTACCGTTCAATCCTTAAACTGAGTGAAGCAAAAATAAAAGAATTTAATAGAATAAATAAATTGATTGGAAGAGATGAATTTAATAAAGATGAATTTTTAAACTCAATCCAAATTTAATTTTTATTCCTCTTCGACAACGTCTCTTCGAGACGCCGAACCCTTCTGGGTTCTTCCCGGTTTTCGTTCTTGCATCATTTTTATCATTTCCTCCCTTGTTATGATTCGTGGTAAATTTTGAGCTTGTGGGGTATCCATTACTTCATTACCTAATTAATTACAGACATAAAATATATTTAGTTCATTCGGTACCATGCGAATATAGTCACAAATGGTGGCATGTAATCTTTACCCAAGCCTGTTGGATTTGTTGTGAAAGTGTGTGAATGATTTCCTCCTGGTTCAGTTGGTCGAAAAATCTTTTTTGCTGCATTGTTATAAGATGGAGATAAAACGTCATTGCCAGCTTTATAGTCTGAGTTGTATAATGGGTGGTCTCTTAATGAGTGGCTATGGTCGCCAGAAAAGTTTGTAGTTCCTGTATGAGTGTGCGGTGGAAGGTTTGCTTCTTTAATTTTCTTCGAACC